GGCTTTTATCGCCAAGCAAATTTGTATGTTCTTATGCGATGAGGTGCTGTATCAAATGCAAGGATTATTATTTGTGATAGAATTCCTTGGATATGATATAGCACCTCGTCATATCATCCAAATGTCCAAAATCACTTCACCAGATTCAACTTCCAAATGTAGCAGCTGTGCAGTCGTTGGCACATTTGGCAGCCAATTTCCACCCAACACCCAGAAAGAGCTATGAAGGAGGTTAATTACATTGATTAAAGTATTGTAACTCCATTAGCATTAAAGTACCATTTTTGTCAGCTCGGTATTTTGACGCATGCAGAAACGCATCACTGTTTAGAGTATCCTGGTATCCTGACCACAGTTCCACGTGTGCATACCTGATAGCACGTGGATATTTCCGTCCAGTCGGATTCAATTTCAGTGTTTTGTTTCCTGGGTGTTCTTTGCACTGCAAAATCAGTCCAGGAGCAAATAAAAAATACCATGTCAAGTTATCTGCTTTCCAGTCATTGTTTTTGTGATGTGTTTACTGATCATCCTGCTCCTACACCAGTGTAACAGACACAATTGATTTTTTTTGTTTTATTTATTCAACACTGATTAATTTGATTAGTCATTTTGTCTTATTTGAAATAATACCCTCTAATAGTCTGAAATGAATTTCAACTAATTTAGAGGAAAGAGTTCTTAAAATGTATGAGGCTCCCCATCTCTAAGAAACTGGTTTATTATATCTCTTACCACAGAAAATTTACTCTTAACAGTGCATTCTCCAGAAAATATTTACCTTTGAACTTGCATCTCCAAATGATTGTTTTCTTGGATAATGATTTTTCTCAGAATTTTAGACACACTGGGAGTAAATATCTAGCATTGCAAGGGCTTATCTACAGCATATTTTTGTTTTAAGTTTGGTTGGAAAGTACTTATTTTTCCTTTCTTACTGGTATGTGGGAGTGAAGCTTGCACTCAATGGCGACATTAATAGAATGGAATAACTAGCTAATTTTGCCCAATTTAGATAAAGCTTCCCTGAAGCTTAAGCAACACATCATTTCATTCTCAGACGAGCAACTCTGATCAACCAGTGAGCCAACATACACTTCTGACAGTTGCTCTTCTTGGCAAACATGGAATCAATTCTGGATTAACATTTGGCTCAGTTGATAGCACTGTCAGTCAACTTATGTGCCCATATGTCTATCCATGGAAGATCAAAATAGCCCCAGAAATATCAAGCCCCACCTGATGTTGAAACAAGGCAAAATGGATTTTTACAACTTATCAGGAAAAAAAAGAAATTGATCAGTAATATCTCCTGGACAATAGTAAAGGACACAGAATGAGAATCATCAGTTGGACTTTTATTTCCGCAAAGTCCCAAAAGTACAAATATACTTTAGAAGAAAGTGTTTGGTCTCTTGGTGGTGAAGCGTGGCTTATGCTGGCGTCTCAAGATTCTGTGTGGCAGAGGGAATTTGATCCTGGAATCCTGGAATACAAAAAAGCCATGATAGTTTAACAGGAAATGCTGCTTGTTTATAATAATAATCCTTGTATTTGATACAGTGCCTTATTACGTCTTTGAGATGTCTCAAAGCGCTTCACAGAATATACTAAATTTGACTATATTTTGTGGGCGAAAGGCAGCAGCCAATTTCGCACAGCAGCGTTCCACACAGTCATGGACTGAGTAACGGAATTACTCTTATTATTACTTTTCTGAAAGAATTATTACCCCTGGAAAAGCGATCGACTAACAATCGGGTTTCTACTTACTGCTAGTTAAGCAGACGTGTGTGGAGTAAGGAAACTTCGGGTTTAGAAGATGACAAGCAAACGTATATTCAGTACTTACATGGAACTGCTTGACAGCAGGTCTACGACACTTGCTCGATGGGATCTCTTCCACCTTCATGATCTGAATAGAGTGGGCACGAGCGCGATGGCGAGCCCCCATATCACGGTCTACAGAAGAAAATCAAAAAAAGGAAAATTAAGAAAACCTTTAGGACAACTGTGTGCAAAAAAAGTCAAGTTTAAAAAACATGCTACTGTAATTATACCTGAGAAGCACATGGCTATTTTATTCAGAACAAATATATGCTCCTATTTAATTGTGAACGGAGTAAACAACAGTGACAGGAAGCAAGCCCAGATGTGTCCTAAACCTCGATTCATGTTATTTCAGCTTTAAAATTTATACCATCTGAATAATATATAACATTTCTGCACAATTACCAGAAACACCTGAAAATCATAAAAGGAATAATTATTTAGGGCTAAACAATTGTATCTGGGTGATAATTTTTAATTTGTTGGTGACAAAACAGAGTGTAGTTGATTGAAGAGGACTTTAAGCAACTTTAGGAGAATATGATTTGTGAATTTCGCAGAAAATTAACAGATGAAATGTAATGCAGAAAGGTGCGAAGTGATGGATTTTGGGTGAAAGAATAAGCAGAAAAGGTATACAGGTTTAATAATACTTGCATTTGATATAGCGCTTTTTCATGTCTTCTAGATGTTTCAAAGCACTTCACATCAAGTGAATTGACTCTATGTTTGTGGGCGAAATGTGGCAGCCAATTGTGCACAGCAGTGTCCCACAAACAGTCGTGGATTGAAATTACCGATTTATTATTTTTTTAGAGGGATTATTATCAGGCTTGTGGAGCAAGGAAACTTGCCCAAGGTTTCACTCTGCTGGGAATCGAACCCAGGTCTCTCGCTTGCAAAGAGAAGATCTAAGAGTTGATATACACAAATCTTTAAAGATGGGATAGTAATCTGACAGGAATAACTAATGGAATCTTCAGTTTAGATAAACAGGGGGCTTGGAACATAAAGTAAATGGATAATGCCGGACTGATATCGGTGACCCCTGGTAGAGGAAGCATGTCAAAGCAGGAGAAACGGTACAAAGGAGATTCATGAGGATACCAGGCATGAGGTTTACTTAAGAGAGACCTTCTTATGAAGAATTTCTTATGAACAGGAGGGTCAGTAACTACTGTTGGGAGGTGAGTTAGCAACTGGAGGACATATTACCAAATAACTTTTGCCTCTGCAGAATCCATATTAGTTATTAATAGGAAATTAAATATTTGAAAAGCAGGAATATTAAAAGTACGAGAAAGGCTAGAATTTTGAGAATAAATGAATAGCTCCTTCAGAGAGCTAGCAAAGGTATAATGGGCAGTTCGGTCTCTTTTTGCGTTGAAAATTTCTATAGTTTTTTCTATAGTTTTAAGTAATTTGTAACTAGAAAATGAGTGTTAAAAATGCAGCACAAGATGTATGTTGTAATTATTCAAAACTCAATACGTGTATGTTATGCTCATTTTAGGTGTTAAAACTAAGCAGCAGCATAATAAAACAGAATTCTCACTTAAGTTTGCAATAGTCATATAAGAGCAAGCTCAACTCCACTCCAGACTTCAAGGGCATTGTATGAAGGCTTTCACTCACATCGTCAAAATGTTATTTGCAGACTCAAAATTCAGAAGGAGCTGACACTATACGCTCAAAAAAGCCAAACTTGCAACTTTTTCTCATCCAAGCAAATGGCTCTTAGATGCATGAGCATAATTTTTGCTAAATATTAAATTGACAACTAGAAACCTCATTTGACATAAAATCATAGAAATCTGTCATCAACTGAGAATGTGTTCCACACCACTGAACATTTATTGGCATCCTTTTGGTCATTGACAAATTTCTTGCCGCAAGCTAATCTTTCACTGAATTTAAATCTGGTTCAAGGAGCTACTTTTACCTTTTTTTACTACGAGTTGCTTACTGGTGTGATACATGCAAAGGACAAACTTCTACCTCCACTTCATGTGCATGGGTAACTTTGCACTTCAAAATGAACGATGAATTGAATTAGTTTAAGGCATTAAAGTGCTTAAGAGTTTCCAAAGTTTTTCATCAGAACTTATGTTACAAATATAAAAATGTGATAATTTGCAAAAGCAGATTGTGGTGAAACAATAATAATCCTTGTATTTGATATAATGCCTTTCACGTCAAGAGGCCATCCCAAAGCCCCTCACACGATTTGCGAGTAGTGCCACAGGTTCTTTAAAGTCCACCTGAACAGACAGATAGGACATTGATTTAACATCTCATCTGAAGGGCAACACCTCCAAAAGGCAGCACCTCCGATAATGCAACCCATCCCCAACACTACATTGGATTGTCAGCTTAAACTATGCGAGTTAAAAATCATAACATTTGAGTTGAACCCATAACCTTCAAGTTGAGGCTGCTACCATCTGAGTCAGGCTGATAGATAGGAAGGGCGCTTCTGTGGAGAAAAATTCTGTCTACAACAGGATAGCTATGGAGCATAAAAGACCTGAATAAATCAGGTATCCCTCCTGTCTACAAAGCAACAATGTTCTAAATACAAATTTATAATTTACAAAACAATAAAAGGGGATAACTGCAAACTGGTAAAGTAAATACTTACAGCACAGAGTGACAGCACCAGCAGTGGTCAAGTCCCTGTACTCCCTGTACATGTTGTGGGTTCCACTGCGAGAGTCATAGCGCAGCCAAATTCCAAAGTTCTTCACCTTTTCTGGTGTTTTCTCATAAACCTGAAAAAGATGTGCAATGTGTTGGCTGCAATCTTCAACAAGTAAGTGCAGAATTCATGTCAACTAATGTCACATTATTTAAAAAGATGTTTGTGTAGAACTAGCTTGTTTTTACATTTCATGGGTGACGCTATGCCTTTTTTCCCCTAGATTATGATCTTAAATCATGGTAGATCAAACCTACAAACAACTTTAAAAGGGAAGCATTTTAAAAGGATAGGCTTCGGGATGCAAGGTGGTTAAACAAGTGGGAAAAGACCTAGCAACCCTCCTAAGAGGATGAGGCATCCAAACCAATCTTAAGCACATTGTTATAAAAAGCTAAGCTGATCAACCAATCCTTCCATCCACCTGGAGAATGGTGCAAAAACCCTAGAAAAGAAACTCTAGGCCAAAGCAGAACTTGCACACTATTTATTTGTATGCCATAACATAATTTAAGAATTCCAAAATCAATTAATATTTGCTGACAACTCAAAATGGCAACTGGAAGAATTTGCATTCTGTCACTTTTTGGGAAGTTCTGGGCAATCATAGGAAAACCACCCAAAAAACACTCAGCTTCAAATGTGCATCTTAACAATCAAAATGAGAAACTCATTACATGGGACATTTTGACACAAAACTTCCATCAAAACACTCCAATATAAGTGCACTTAAAAATGGATACACAGTGAATAAACAAATTTTAAAACTGTGATGTACAAGATCAGAGATACCAGTCTTTTTGACTTTCACTCCTGTTCAAGGAAAAAAGCTTACCTGGCCACAATATACAATTTCACCAGCAGATTTTTTCAACTTCTTCATCAGCGAAATGAAGTACCAAAATCTAGACTTGGCAACAATTTGGTTGGGAGCAAAGATGCGCATTCGATACAAAGGAGGACAGCAATCCTTGGTGGAGGGCAAACGGCGCCCAATCACCTTGTACTCCTTGAGCTGAAACATACAATTAATAACATTAGAATGCAATACTGACTGAGTTTATTAAAAACAAATGCTTGCTTAGCATGTACTGCCTGCCTTCCATTCCACTTTCAGGAACACTTTTAACATCTCTGGAAGGTGACATGGCCAACTCATTTTTGCATAATGCATTAAAATAATGAATCACAATATTGTTGAGATTTTGTGCAAAAACGGAGCTTAAAACTCCTCTCCGTGCAAATACCAATGAGGGTGGGGGGTGCAATTAATTATTGCATGTCATACTTATTGAAGGTTACTTTTAACAGATTACCAAATCAGCATAAACCTATTAAAATGGTGACTGTCAAACAAATGGGAAAATCGTGTAGTATAAAGCCTTCATCCCATTGTAAGCCAAATGTAACTCAGTCTCTTAAAAGTTACGCTATAAACCGTCTGCATGGACCAGGCGGGGGTTTGGTCACATCCCATGAATTGGCTCAGGATTGCATTGAAGAGCAGCAGAGCCCTGGTTTTGAAGTCGGGGTTAGGGAGGGGATCCTCCTCGCTGAGTGAGCAGTTTCCTGCCTCTTTTATTTATATGAATGTGTATGAGGCTGCGCTCATTGCCGGGGCCGGGCGGCTGGGAGCTCGGGGGCGGCAGCACATGGTCTGGCCTTCCCCGCCGCCATGTTGAGGATCGCTCCCCGGCACCGGGAGCCGCTCCCACGCCCCGCTCCCCCGCCACACAGCGCCCGGCCCGACCGCTCCGGAGCCCTGGGGTCACGCCGAGGAAGTGCGGGCCTCGGGTGGCAGATTCGCGGGTAAAGAGGCCGCGGCGCCACGTACGGTGCCCGAAGCCTTCATCGCTGCCTCTCGCTCGCTCGCCTGCTGTCGAAAAGAGGAAGTTACGTCACGGCAGAGCCGGGTAATCAGCTCTCACCGGATGTGAGGTCAGCCGCGGGCGCTGATTGGTTGAGAAGACAGCCAGCGCCTGCGCAGGCCGGGAGTGGACATGCGCACAATGGATGAGATGCAGCAAATACGTCTCTGTCTGATCTAATGCCTTTCCCCACCCAATAATAAATAATAATCCTCGCATTTGATACAGCGCCTTATCATGTCTTTGAGATGTCTCAAAGCGCTTCACACAATATACTGTAAAGTAAATTGACCGTATATTTTGTGGGCGAAACTCAGCAGCCAATTACGCACAGCAGTGTCCCCACAAACAGTCGTGGATTGAGTGAGTAATCAAATTACTTTTCATCAAAAAAAGTTTTGAAGGGATTATTACCCCTGGAAAAGTGATCCGCCAATCGCCTAACAACCGGATTCCTACTTAACTGCTGGGTAAACAGAGGGATGTGGAGTAAGTAAACTTGCCAAACGTTTCGCCCTGCCGGGAAGCGAACCCAGGTCCTTTTGCTTGCGAGGCTAAGCTACAGGACTCCGCAATCTACGCACGTTGAGCTCACGTCTCACCCAAGCAACGCATCAGTCTCCCAGTATTGCACTGGTGTATCATGTATCAGCCTAAGTTGACAATCTTATGACTGTCAGATTTGTTTTCTAGCACTTGTTAATCATGTTACACTGCAAGTCCCTACAATTACACAACCGTTACATCTAACAGCATTTTCACAAAGCGCTTTGAGACATTGATAATGTAGGTGCTGCTATATTGTCCCTCATAACATCCAGGCTACTGAGCCGGAGGGGGGGGGGGAGAACCCGCTTCCCTCCCCCCTTCTCCTCCTCCCCCCCCGGGGGTGAGGGCTACACCAGCGCCGGCTAATCTTACTACGCAAACTCCCTGCTTGTCAGCTCCACAATTCCTCCCTGCATAGGCTACAGATCACCCAGAACTCTGCAGCCCGTGTCATCTCTCGCACCAGACTCCGCGAACCTATCACCCCCCCCCCATCCTCGTCTGACCTCCTGACCCCCTACCAACCTGCCCACTCCCTCTGCTCAGCGGGTTCTGTAACTGGGGAATGAGGAGGAGTGGTGCTGGGTCACCGAGGGCCAGTCACTGGGGAGTGAGGGCCGGTCATGGGGAGTGAGGGCCAGTCACTGGGGAGTGAGGGACAGTCACTGGGGATTGAGACTGGTCACTGGGGAGTGAGGTTGGGATAAGGATCAGTTCCGGGTTATGACCCGGTGTCACCTCCTCTTCCTCCCGGGGTCGGTTTCCGGTTGAGCAGCGCGCACACACACACGCGCGCTGGCGAGGCGGCCCCGGGCTGTGAGGAGCGCCCGGTGCCGGAAGGTAACGGTGACCTGGCGATCAGCGGCGGGGCAGCTCACAAACATGGCGGCGGCCGGTGTCGCCCTCGTCCCCCGGGGGGTGGGGGGTGAGGAGGAGGAGAAGGGGGGGAGGGAAGCGGCTTCTCCCCCCCCACCCCCCACCCCACCGGCTCAGTACCGAGCGGCCGCGGGGACTCCTGTCTCCCCGCCTGGCGCTGAGGGACGACTGAAGCGCGGGCAATGGTCGGGGCCGAACCCCCGACTCAAAACTCTTTGAGAGAGAAAAATACTAAAATGTCACTGAATAACTAACCGCTCTCCTCCCTCACACAGAGAGTGGGTGAGAGAGTGGGTGGGTGAGTGAGTGAGTGGGGGGGGGCAGAGGCTCTCAGTCTGTTTGTTTACCAGGTGGCTTTATCGATCTGGTTCAATCCTATGTGTTTCTGTTGCTTCCCTCTCCCTCTCCCCCACACACACACACACACACACACACAATATCCAGCCGTTGCATCAGTCAACGCTGCTGTCAGCAGCAGCGTCCTGTCTCAGCAAAAAAATCCACACACACACCCCTCAAAAGTTTTCAGGAGATGCTGAGCCCCACGATTTGCAGTTCGATTGCGCGACTGGGCCGCGAGACCCGCCTCACGACTGCCATCCTAAAAGTCACCGGGTAACGGTTCACGCGCTCGGCAGCGAAGGGCGTCTCGGCGCAGCCAGTTGGCCGCAAGATATTGGCTTTTTCCCACGGGGGCCGTCATTTTCCGGCCGCGAACGTTCGTGTCGGTTTTATTTCTGCTGAGTTGGTCGGTACCGGCGTTTGCAGGTTTTTACGTCTGCTTGCTGTTTTCTTTGTGCTTTAATCGACAGATGCATAGAGTCTCTAAGCGAAAAGAGAGTAAACCTACTGTAAAGAATAGGTAATCGTTAGCAATGGATGAGCAAGCTCTTCTGGGGTTGGACCCAAATGCAGATGCCAACTTCAGGCAGAGGGTGAGTGGAGTCATTGGAATTAAAAATCTGAATGCTTGGAACTGCACTTCAATTCTATAATGTTACATCCATTGTTAAATTCATATGTGAATCTTTATTAATTTGGGCTGAATAAATACAGCCCTGTATTTGACTCCTGGAAAAGCTGCCATGGTATATGGAATATACAACAACCACAACAACTTACATTTATATAGCGGCCTTCACGTGGGCTAGAGTCCTGGAGCGCTTCGTGAATATTGGACGCCATAATTCATGTTACTGTGCATAAAACTGATAGACACTATATTGGTAGCTTTTATAGTGATTTATTTTTCACAGTGGAGGGAAAATTGGCTTATTTGAAATGACTAAAAGCATCTGATAAATGTTATGGTGTGGATAACATTTTGTATATGGCATTTGCAGTGAAACCCACTTCATACTTTACACGGGAGAATTGAGCAGTGCCAATGTTCAATTAAGAGCAGACGAACCTTTGGGTTTGTCTGGACTCTTGTTAGAAAATTATGAAGCATTCTTCTATTAAGGCAGTTTGACCATGAGGTATGTTGGTGTCAGACTGTACCATGGAATAGTATGATACTTGTTTGTAGATCAGATTTTCATAAACTTCCCAAACTTGGCCAAAATCATAGTTAGCGACTGATTCACATCCTTTCCCCCTACAGAGAAATAGGAGAAAACAGGAGACAATCTTAATTTAGTTTGACTAATGTATTTCAAAGCAGGTAGATGTTTATTGGTAGCCATCAAGGAGGAATGCTATGTGCCACAACGAAGCAGAGGATAGGAACAAATACCAGAGAAACATAGTTGAAAAAAAGTAACATGATGGGAGAGCAGCGATCAAGAAATCAAGACTGAATCTGTACCCTCATTCTGTGAAATTCCAGTGTGCTGTACTGTACTGCCCACAAAATATACAGTCAGTTCACTTTACAGTATATCCTGTGAAGCACTTTGAGATGTCTCCAAGACATGATAAGATGCTATATCATATGCGAGGATTATAATTGTTATACCATCATGCTCACTTTAGAAAATAATATGAATTAATAAGTAAGGTGTGTGCAAGTAATTGAAAGACATTATGTAATGTCATTGTTTTTCAACCAATGTTTTAGGCTGTAGCATATTTTGAACAGCTGAAGGTTTCCCAGGATGCGTGGCAGGTGTGTGCAGAGGCTTTGGCACAGGGGATTTACAGGTAGGCAATTTAACAATGATTGCCTGCAACTTTACGGAACAGTAAACAAATATATAAGGAGCTGATAAAAAAGGGAATGAAAGATAAACAAGGAAAATGGGTTAAGAGGAGGTAAAGGGGCATACCAGAATGTTTGGAGAAGACAAATCTATTTAAAAGTCACAAAGTTGACATGGTGTTTATAAGATTTGTGTGTGATTCAGTAATGGAATTTAATAACTAAAGATTTACTAGAAACCGTAACACTAGTAAGAAAATGACAAAGTGTTGATTATTTTTCTTGTTCACAGTGATGATCATGTCAAGTTCTTCTGTTTTCAAGTACTGGAACATCAAATTAAATTCAGGTAAAAACATGTACATCAGATTACAGCATGGGATTGTTAACCCTCCAAAATTGTGTTTAATTCTCCTTCGCATTCAATGATGTAGAAATAGCTGCTAGCCCCATGTCTGTGTCATGGGTGCCACTTCTGGCACTGGTCAGCCAGCTTCTGATGCATATATCAGCCACAGCTGCTCATGAGCAGTATTTCAGAGATAGATATTGGAGCTGATTATAGTAATGATTCAATTATAAATCTAATCAGACTGATCTGATCACATCCGATGCTCCTTTTGAAACAGTTTTATGCCCCAAAACAAATATGGCATTTTGAAAGTACTATACGGTGGCTCAAACTGGGCAATAAGCATGGTATTTTACCAGAAATCTTGCCAATATCTCTCTATTCACTATGCAAAACAAAATAAGACATTACCTCAATTATTTTAACTTGTTTAAAATGATATGAGTAAAGTCATATCTTCAAACCTAGCATTTCTCTCAATCAACACAGAAGTATAAATTATGAATTGGGTGCAATCTCCTAAAACTGACTTGTGTGGTTCATCATGATCCATGTTTGCCAATGTATGGTTTTGGGTGTCCGGGTAGGAGTTGCTTACCGTTTATAGTTTCTTTGTTTTCTCCTACACCTCTTGCTGTTGTGCATTGAATTAATAGATATCTTGCAGAGTTAGCAGTGTAGATGAGTGAGGAGATGATTGCTAGGAGATGTGCAAGAGCAGTTTTTGACTTGCCTTACTTTTTTCCCTTAAATAATTTTTAATTTGAAAATTGTGAGGTATATCAGTGCTGATTGTTCAGAAACAGAGTCTACAAACACAGATTGTGAAGTTGCTCTTTTGTGTTGCAGGTATTCTGTTCTGACAGGAGCACAACAACAAATGATTAGGCAAACTATAATGACCTGGCTTCACGCTCAGGTGAGTACCCTGATTCTCTGTTTTAAAACAAATGAAGGTATTTTAATGTTTAATGTTCAAATGCAAAAATTTTAATAAAGATCTTGCAAAGAAATTTTTAACCATTTAGTTTATTGCATTAAAGGCAGTGGTTCCCTGCTCATCTTGATTGTGGTCTTCACCACGTTGACACTGAAATTCTGGGTCTAAACTTTCCTAGCTTTCTTTTATCAATTCAGCGTATTTTGGACAGTTCTTAAATTGCCATAATTTTATAGATGGTTTTCTTTGGGTTCTTTTATGAACTACAGAAAAATGGTTTGAAATTGATTACACTTCTCCATCCCAGATCTCAGACTTAGTTGGAGTTGGCCTAGAGAAGTTTCAAATCACTTTCAAATAACTTACTGTAGCAAGGTATTTCAATTAGCATTGTGATTCAAAACTGATCAAATGTGAATTTGACTTGCATGAAGAGGTATTTCTGTATTCTAACTGTTCAAATGTGTGCAGGCAGGCCTTCAACTTGATAGTTGTATGCCTTTATTTCAAACTATCCTTTTAAATATTTCTATCCATATCCTGAATAGATGGTGAGTCCAGGCCCAGAGAAGACTTTTATTCGCAACAAAGCTGCTCAAGTTTTCGCTATCCTTTTCATAACGGAGTATCTTACTAAATGGCCCAAGTTCTTCTTTGATATTCTATCAGTAGTTGGCCTTAATCCTCGAGGAGTCGATCTCTATCTACGAGTTCTTATGGCCATCGATGCAGAAGTAGTAGATCGCGACATTGTTCATACAGCAGAGGTAAACGTGGTGAGCATGAATTGATCTCAAACCAAGGGGTATAATCTTTAGTAGCGTAGAATACTTTGTCACTAAAATATATACAATGGTTAGAACTTGCAGTTTCAGAAACTGTACTGACTTGTTCACTGCAGACAGTGGCTAAATTATTTGCAGCCTAAATTCACTTCACAGCTCATTCTAATAGCCAACTTGAATCATTCACGAGCTTCACTTTCAAAACTAATGCAAAAAACAGGCTGAACCTTTAAGATTAATTAACCTGTTTTATTTATGAGCTTATTGTTGCAATGGCGATTTGAATCGGTATTTAAAACATTTGATCTCGTGGCAGTTCATTGCTGAATATTACACTTTGTACAATGATATTTTGTTCTGTTTTCTGTAATTGTAGGAGAGTAGGCGAAATACCTTAATAAAGGACACAATGAGAGAACAATGTATACCTGATTTGGTGGAATCTTGGTACCACATCCTGCAGACCTATCAACAAACAAACTCTGAACTAACGTGCCAGTGCCTTGAGGTTGTAGGAGCTTTTGTCTCCTGGATTGATTTGAATCTGATTGCAAATGACAGGTATGCACTTGTGTGCTAACACATTATTTTCTAAATTGCGTTCTTGCAAACGTAATGTATATTAAAATGTGCTCCTGTTTATACAAAAGGAGTCTTCAAAGGCGAAGCCTTGGGCAAGTTTCCTTACTCCACACCTGATAATAATCCCTCAGGAAAAAAAAAAAAAAAATTGGTCATTTCAATTAACGGCTATTTGTGGGATACTGCTGTGTGCAATTGGCTGCCATGTTTCGCCCACAAATATACAGTCAATTCACTTTACAGTATATCCTGTGAAGTACTTTGAGACGTCTAGAGGACATGAAAAGCGTTTTATCAAATGCAAGAATTATTACTATTATTTATTTAAAAATTCTACCTTCATTTCATACTATTTATATTTGATGGTCAATTGTAATCGGGTTGATGCTGTGTTAAGCGGTTGAAAGATATGTCAGATGTGTATGTTTGTGTGCTGGTTCTGCCCTTTTAGGAACAAAACCTTCTAAGTTTATGTTGCTAATGGGTTGGTCTCTTTTCTATATTAACTTGAGTTTGGGCTTGTTGGTTGCTAAATAAGTGAGCAGGTTTCACTCCCAAATTCTGCGTTGCTGAATCATGGCTGTCTTCTTTCCATGGTGTCTTTCCAACACAGAATTTAATTTACATTTGTTTAGCGCCTTTCATGTCGGGAAGACATCTCAGGATCTTTACACTAGGCTGAGGGAGGTGTTTGAGCTGAATTAGTGGGGAGGGAAAAGTTGACCAAAAGCACAGTCAAAAGAGCTAAGTCGAGGAAGGCTTTGAAAATGGGGAGGGAGGGAGCGAGTCAGAGGGACTCTGAGATGGAGTTCCCGAGAGTGTCAGTATAATGGCTGAAATCTCGCCCTGCAACTCTGTTCATTGTTTTTTAATCTCCATCTGGATTAGCTGAAGGACACTAGAGGAAATTTTGAGGAGAGCGGGATCATTTATTGTACGGGTGGAGTTTGTTTCATTTAAACAAATATCTTCAAACTGTATTGAATTTCAGCCACTCCCCAAGCAATGGGTAATGGATTTAGGGGAGGGAGGTGACAAACTCAACTCAGTCCCAACTATAAACATTTCCTGTATTACAAACAGGAGGTTTTCAAAGCTGGCAGGTTAAAAAAACACACACACACACACACCAGCATCAGAACTGAAACTTGACATCCGGTTTGATGACAAATGAGGGCTAAATAAGGTAGCAGACATCGTGTGTGTGCGCAACGCTGTTTCATGCAGAAAGGGAGTTTAACTTGCTTGTCGCAGAGTCAAATAAATCCTTTCAGGGTGGGAGTGAGTCAGAGGACTTCGAGATGGAGTTGCGAACAGCAGAAGGAACTAAATGGCCTCATTCTGTGCTTAAATTTCTGTGGTTCTATGTTCTCACCATCAGAGCCCTGAGTTTTTTGCAGTTCTGGTTTGATGCAAACCAATAAAGACTTAAAGTTAATATTAATGATGCTGGGTAGTCTAACTAAGTTAATGGTAGTTGCATCACATGACAGAAAGAACAGGTCTAAGTGTTTTGATAAGGTCACAAATCTAATTGAAGAACAGGAAAGATCAGTAACACAGGAAATCTGAACAGCATTGACAAAATAAAGTTTGTTTATTTCACGACAATGCTAGACAAGTCTAGAATTTTTAAGTTTGTAATGTTTCTTTTCTAGGTTTGTAAATATGCTGCTCAGTCATATGTCAGTGGAAGTCCTCCGTGAGGAAGCTTGTGATTGTCTATTTGAAATCGTAAACAAAGGCATGGATCCTGTGGATAAGACAAAACTTGTAGAATCCCTTTGTCAGGTGTTACTGGCTTCTGGCTTCTTCAACACTGAGCAGGTAACTGCTCCACAGCTTCTACATCAATAATTTATTTATCTTTGTAACTTGAATGGGCTCACTCTAGGATTAAATTATAAATAGCCAGATTCTCATTCGATTTTGATTTGTAAGAGCAGGGAACACATGAAGTTGAATTTCTTTACTTTAAGATGCGTCATTGGATCAAGTGAAATGCTTGCTCTGGTATTATCAGCACTAATATTTTCAGCTCTCTTGTAACAACTATATGTGTTGGATTGGCGAGAGGAATACTGATCAAGGAGAGTCTGCTGTGTAGATCAAGAATATCTTGCTTTGTGGTTTGAAATGTTCAGGATCTTGATCTCAGGCTACAAAAGACTTCTTGCAAATAATAGAGTAAGAGCTGCTGTTAATGTGGTGCTTTCAGCTTTGAATGGACTGCATGTTTGTCCTGCAAATTGAGCTGATGCAGTTTTTTGGGAAAGCATTCAGTCTGCGGATTTTGTAACAAATTTGTTTTCCCTAGGAAATAAATGACATTAATAGCATCCTTTTGTAAATGATTTTTTTTTACACACAGGAAGAAGATGTTGATTTTCTGGCTAGGTTTTCCAAACTGGTGAATGGGATGGGCCAGTCTTTGATAGCCAGTTGGAATAAATTGGTGAAAGCAGGGGATGTAAAGAACAGCCAGGTGACACTTCTCGCTGTGGAAGCTAAAGTGCCTCTCATGCTTAAACTGCTTATGCATGAAGATGATGATATCTCCTCCAATATAATTGGTTTATGCTATGACTATCTTCATACACTCAAACAAGTAAGTCTACAATATTTGAAGGATGGATTCACAGTAATTTGTTTTTGTGACAGAATAAAAGTACCTGCTATTTGTGGCCAGTTACACAATAGTTTTACTTTGGCAGTTGTACTGCTCATGTTTTCCCTATCAGCGTCCTCATTATATGAAAAGCAGATAAGTAGACTTCTCAACATTGATCTGACTGTATTTTCTTGGGTCAGCTGGATGTCTTGACACATGCGGAAACGCATCACCATGCTTAAGAGTATCCAAACCAAACTACGAGTTCCATGCATTCCATTTATATATAATTCCCAATAGATTTATTGGAACAGAATACATACTCTATCCCTGAAGGGATGCATGCTGCTTACGTAATTCCAGACAGTATTAGGCCAAGATTGGCAAGATCCAAGGCTTGAGTACCCTGATCGTGAGTTGGAGTACTGATGTCTAACCAACTAAAATCTTGTTCCTTGCCATTGAGGGCACCCCCTGGCAAGCTATACTGCCGTTTGTCCCGTTGGGGCTAAATTACCCTCTTGCAGAGTTAATCGTAGCTGAGTGGAAAGAATCCCTTCCCCAAGAACTGCCGTTTCAAGTCCTGACAATGAGTCAGGCTGGCTGAACTGTCAAGTAACTCAATGGAAGTAATTGAACATTTCAGAGAATAAATGTGTTCACTATCTAGAATTTTGTAGTACTTGTATCCAATGAGTCGACCGATTCTTAATAAAAGTTTTCCCTTACAGTTAACATGAAGTGGGTACTATTGTATGACACCAATACAAATATACAACTTTGTTTGTAATTGGTATGAACATTAGTACCTGTTTTTAGGTACAATATTTAAACTAAATTCTACTAGTATTATCGTAAGTTTGCAACACCTTGAATCACTTTGAGTAGTTTGTTTCAATAATGTAGACCGAATAAAGAAAGTGAACAAATACTAATGCATCATGCATGAATTGATTTTAAAAATATTGTGTTTTTCTCTTTTAAGCTTCCTGCCTTGACAGAACAACAGAAGAGCAATGTTGAGGTAAACTGCATGTGCTTGTATTAAATAAAGGCATTTTATTCCATGTACAGTTTTGAATTATTTGCATAAGTTAATCAATGTTTTGTGACTAGGCAATTATGCTTGCGGTTATAAAGAAGCTGACTTACGATGAAGAATATAATTTTGAAAATGAGGTAAGAAAGCTACGTTTCCTAAAACTCGTGTACACGTTGGGTCACTCAATGTTTTGGTAAAGGAAGTTAAAAAGGGTAGAATTTATATTGAATACAAGTGTAAAGCCTTCTAAAATTCAAAAACGGGCAGTACAATAGCGAGCAACTGAAATTCAGTCAGAAGCCAGTGATGCAATGGGGAACATGATAGTAATGGTAATAATAATAATCCTTGCATTTGATATGGCACTTTATCACATTTTCAAAACATGTCAAAGTGCTTCACAGGATTTACTTTGAAGTGTAGTCACTCTACCTGTAGGTAAATGTAATGGGAATTTTAAATTACGAATGACTTCCTCAATTACACTATCTACATGTTGGAAGAGATTTTCTGTATTTTCAAAGACATGGAAGAACGATTTGTTTGTGCACCAAAATATTGTCTATAGGAAGTTCCTGATAAGAGGAAATTGGCACAATAGTTGAAGGAAATTGGAGTAGTAGGTGTTTTTTTAATTGCTCTTGCGCATTTATTATAAATTGGTTCCAGAGGTCTGAGATGCAGGCTTGCCTACTCATCCTTTAGCTGGGGAATGACATGTGCTCCTAGAATATTTAGAGTTAGGCAGAAAATCAAATGTGACCGAACATTTTGCTTAGTACTTCCCATTCTCTGCTTCTTTTTAATGAAGTTGTTTTACTAGTGCAGCCTGTTTTGCATTGCTGATTTGACTAAAAAATAATGTGGAAATAGTTTTTGAATTAAAATTGAAATGTGCTTTGTTTTTTTTTAAAGTAGATCTTCAGTGTGGCACGTAGCACTGTTACTCATTTAAATTTTGTAAATATGTTCCAGGGTGAAGATGAAGCCATGTTCCTTGAATATAGAAAACAGTTAAAGTTGTTGTTGGATAGATTGGCTCAAGTTTCACCCGAGTTGCTTTTAGCTGCTGTCCGAAGGGTTTTCAACACTACACTGCAGTAAGTGTTCCCAATACAAGCAATAATCATTTAAAAAGTCTGATCAGTATGCACACTTGTAATTTTTGAAAGTTTTCATAAACTGACTGTTTACATTCAGGAGTTTGCTTGCAGTATTGCTCACAAGTTGTTGAAGCTTCTCTCTTCAATTAGGTTGAAGTTTTAATTGCATTACATTGCATAAGTAACTTGCTCAAAAATAATAGGTTTGTAGCCTTTGTATCGGTCAGCCGGGTGTCTTGACATATGCAGAAATATGTCACCATGTTCAAGAGTATCTAAATCAGACTGTGTTCCAAATATGCATGCTACCTAATCATGGAAATTTTCACTATGTCCGGAATGGAATGCGCACTCTCCCTGGAGAGATGTACCCTGCTTACCAATGCGAAAGAGTACTAGGCGCAGATTAGCAAGAGCCAAAACGTTGGAATCTCAGAGTGTGTGTTAGGATACTGTTGGAGTTGAACCATATAAAACCACGAAGCTTGCCATTGAGAGCACTGTCATGCAAGTGGCCCGCTGCTTGTCCCGCGAGGACCACCCTAGCTTTTTCATCTTTTGTGTTTAATTTAACAGGAATTTTCCCTCCCACAGGAACTGGCAGAATGTTTCGTTCATGGAAGTGGAAGTGGCTCTCAGGTTGCTGTTCATGCTGGGAGAGGCTATCCCAGCTTCCCACGGGGCACACTTTTCTGGAGATACTGCAAAAGCCAGCGTCTTGCAGGAGATGATGCAAATAGTTGAGTATTTTGTATAAAAATACAGTTTTTCACTTCATTTTAATCTTTGTAAATACCAAATAATAATAATAATCCTTGCATTTGATATAGCACCTTATCACGTCTTCAAGACTTCTCACAGCACTTCACAGAATATACTGTAAAGTGAAATGACTGTATTTTTTAGGGTAGCATGAACATTACACCTGTTGAAGATATTTTTGTCATCAAACTTATTTTAATTATAAAAATGTTTCTCTTTTGAAGATCAGGACTGTGCTAGGCTATGGTTTGGTTCAACAAATGTCTGGTATCCTCCAGTACCTGTACAAGTGACTATTGTTTAAATAATAATTTGCATTTGCATAACCCGTTTCACATAGGAGAACATCTCAAAGCTCTTCAGAAAGTCTGAATGTAAGGATTATCATTATAATTGATTTCAGTATAAAACGGGCGTTACAGATTTGAAATGGTATTTACTAACAACTTAAATAAGATGTGAAACAACTAACAAAAACTATAATAATTGTATTCGGATCAGCCTTCAACTATATTCTCAGATTGTAGAGTATCTGCTTTCTAATCATGTGTTCAAGCTTGATGTTTCAGCATTGCGGATCATTCACTCACCATCTTGTTGGATGGAGTTTATGCCAAAATCTGGCAAGGCCACTAGATGGCATGCATTCATTACAATGGCTCATTTTAGGATACATTGACATCTTTGGCGTATTCCAGCTGAAAAATGGATGCGTCTAGCAATTGGGAGTGGTATTTTGGAAAGCTTAATTTCTTTCCCTATTTTTCCCAATTATTTCTCCCTCCAGTAAATATTCTGTCCAATTATTTGCCCTTCTCGTGGCTCTAATGGGAAGGAAACATAATTCAAAATACAGTTGTAAAGGTTGTGCTTTAAATGTTTGAATACTTCCAATGATTAGGTATATTTTTAGTAGCATGCAGACATTTTAAAATAAAGTTAATAATGATTGTGGTTGGAATTTTAAATGGTAATTTCTGTCTCTACAGTTGGTGACATCTGGCGTTAGTCAATACCAGCATACATCAGTCGCATTGGAGTTTTTTGAGACAGTGGTTCGTTATGAGAAGTTCTTTTCAGTAGAGCCACAGCACATTCCTACCGTTCTGGTGAGTTGGTTATAGGTACCAAAGGGCATCATCAAAAAAATAATTGCTATCTATTACGTTCAGCTAAAGGGCAAGAAATGCAATTAAAATGGGTGTTCCACAGTATAACCTACTGTTTCCATAGCTGTTGCATAGCTGACCCACAGTGTCAGATTGCTGCCTGTGTGCTTGCAAGCTCCTTGTTTCTTGTAGATTTTCTTTGAGCTCAGAACTGATTCCTGCATAAATTTCCTGCAACATGAAAATCCAAATGTTTAATATTTTCAAAAAGTTAGTTTTTGAGCATCTGGAAACCTAAATGAAAGTGAACTTGATGATGAACACTGCCAAAATATTATATTTGTTTGAATGATTGTTCTAGCTTTATTTTGACTCAGCGGTTTGACATAGGGCTTGAGCTTTTATTATTATCTTCACTACAGATGGCATTTCTAGATCACAGAGGCTTGCGAAACAACAGTCCAAAAGTACGTAGTAGGACAGCATATCTCTTCTCCAGATTCATTAAATCTCTCAGGTAAGTAACTATTGGCTTGCACTTTATGCAACTTTAGAGGATTTCCTGTGACCTATTTTCAATCTATGGCAGCATCCAATAACAAACACTTGTTTCTGATGCAGTACATTTTCAAGGCAGGTTTATCACAGTGAATTAGAATTCCATTTGGGTTGGGGCATATAATCCTACCAAACTGATGAGTTGCAATCTTGGCAGTGTTGATGTGGCAAAGGGCTAATTATAGGGCAGAGATGCTCATCATCATTGTGCATTTCCTGTCCATTTGTTAGTTCTGATCATTGTTCTCAGGGGCTTGAATTGGTGTGTGTCCTAGAAGCAAAAATGTGGGGAAGTAGTATCAAAAAGAGTGATTTTAACTTTTAAGTATGGATTTGTAATGTGTATTTGTGTGAATGGTAAGCTCTAAACTTCTGCCTTAACCTTTTTTTCAGCAAGCATATGAATCCCTACATAGAAGATATTCTGAACAGAATACAAGATCTGCTGGTTCTTTCCCCTTCTGTGAGTGACAGGTTATCTATTCATCGGAAGGAGGTTGAATATTTATTGCAAATTGATTGAAATATGCACTGAATATTTAAAGAAAATGTATTTCTATTAGAAAAGGAGATAAAGGATGTAGGAGTTTAGGATCTGCATTAAGCCGTGGGTAGATGCAGACTGAAGCTCTGAACTCCTCACTTGCAGCAACGAACCCCAAATGATCTGAAAATGAACAATATATTTCTTTGGAATGTGGCTTTAGTCTTAATAAAGTTTGCTATGTACTGTAATAATTTGTGTTGATCTATTTCAGGAGAACGGTTTCCAGACCCTGTTGACAAGTGATGATCAACTGTTTATTTATGAAACAGCAGGAGTACTGATTGTGAATAGCGATTACCCAGCAGAGAGGAAATTAGCTTTAATGAAGAACTTGTTGGCACCACTAATGGAGAAATTTAAAATTCTTTTAGAGAAACTTATTTCAGAACAGGATGAGGAACGACAGACTGCATTGGCAGATTGCTTAAACCATGCTGTGGGCTTTGCAAGGTTGGTATTTCTGACTTTGTTTTGAAAAGCACTTGTGTTCATTCTCATCGTGTCAATTAAAATAGCTATGTGCATTGGCATGTTTGAAGTACTTGGGAGTGTGGAAATTAGTTTAGACTGGAATAATTGTTCACTGATGTTCTGCTGGATACATGGTGTGATACTTCCCACAGTCAAATACTGCTGGCAATTGCTGTCTGCACACACACATGAAGAATGGCTATAGGGCACCCAGAACGATACCCCAGTGATGATGGGTGGGGGGCGAATGCAAAAGAAAAGGATCCTACCAAAATGAATCTTTGTTAAAGTATTCACAGATCAAAGAAACGTAATTGTGTAAACTGATTTTTTTTAATGTAAGATTGTATATAAAGATACATTTTCAGTTTGTTGCTAGGAAGAATGAGTTCTGATAAAGGGTGTCATTGGAAATAACTCACCTTTCTCTTTTTAGATGCCGAATGACATGTTGTGAATTTCAAGCACTTTTAGTTTTTATTGTAAATTTCTAGTATTTGTTTTTTCTTTTCATCTCTGAAGTATAATTAAGATTAAGTTGACATCAGATATTCTAAATAGTGATGTGACCTCAATCTACGACTGTTTGTAGGACACTGCTTTAAAGTATATTCTGTGAAGCACTTTGAGATGTCTCGAAGACGTGTTAAGGCACTATATCAAATGGAAGGATTAAGATCATTTCAGGGTCGCAAAGAAACAACTATTGAAAAAAGCCAAATGAATATCTGCGCATTACAGCTTGTTCATTCAGTGTCCTTTGCCTTCCAGTCGTACCAGTAAGGCCTTCAGTAACAAGCAGACTGTGAAACAATGTAGATGTTCAGAAGTGTATCGGGACTGTCTGCAAACATTCCTACCGGCTCTCAGTTGCCCTTTACAAAAGGAGATGCTACGAAGTGGAGTCCGTACTTTCCTTCATCGAATGATTATTTGCTTAGAAGAAGAAGTTCTTCCATTCATTCCTACTGCTTCAGAACACATGCTTAAGGACTGTGAAGCAAAGGACCTTCAGGAATTTATTCCACTTATCAATCAGATTACAGCAAAGTTTAAGGTACAGCATTAATTGTCTATATTGAAGAAACGGATGTCTTGATTTTACTAGGCAAACACGATTCCAGGAAATGTCTTCTGGTTTGAGACGTTTGATACAATGGTGTCACAGGTGAGCCACAACATGCTTATCACCAGAGGTGATCAAAGACATCTTCACATTATTACATGGACTTTGGGTGAGGTGGTAGAGAGAGAATAAATTATCTGTCCAAGAGAGCAAATTCGAAAGTATTACGTTTACCAAAGCATCATGGAGTTCCTTGTCTTTTTCTTTTATTCCCTCTCCTATAATATATGTTTTGTGTCTGGGCATATACTACCTGTAGTTGAGAAGGTGCCCAGGATTCTCAGTGCAATTCTGAGCCACCAGGTAGACATGTGAGTGTGAAAGGAATAATTTGGTTTCCTTCCTCCTACCCCCAGCCCCAGCCTATCACATGCAGGTGCGCACATGTACACAGTGGAGTAACTAGGATTAATGGCTTGGTGACGTAGGGAATTAAACCAGGGTCTCGATCATTGAATATGTGGTAACACACAGTTAAAATCTATTTTTATATATATATATATAAACATACTTCAGTCAATAAGTCCTGAGTAATCAAAAGTCTGCATTTTCTGAATGTCCTTCAATGACGTGCTGAGACATTACGGTAAAATGATAATCTTTTATCTTCGTTCAACAAAATACAGAGGAGCAAAGTATGAAACTAGGTATTTAAGACACCTCCACGACATAGTGGTTAAGAAAAATTCAAGAGACAAATAAAGAAAGACACTGGCAAAGAAGAAACACAAAAGTAGAATCACATTTTGAAGTAGACACTTGAGCAATGAGTCCATTGAGGTAAATATTAAATTGAATAGATAGGATAATACAGAATATTACTTCAGATTAAACCAAGAAGACAGGACACATTTCCATATATTTGAGATGTGTTTGCAATCCCAAGTTAATTTTGATATTGTTTTACAGATACAGATTTCTCCATTTTTGCAACAAGTATTTATGCCCTTGGTGCGAGCTATATTTGAAGTATTATCACGCCCTGCAGAAGAGAATGACCAAACCGCTGCGCTTGAAAAGCAGATGCTGCGAAGGAGCTATTTTGCTTTTTTGCAGACTGTTGCCGGTAGTGGAATGAGCGAAATCATTGCTAATCAGGGTAAGTCGGGAGATTTTCCTGGTTGGGGTGACTTTCTTAAGGTTGTTAATTGTAAGAATTAATTTGCTATTTTGCCAAATCTCTGACCATAACCAAAGCCATTGTATTCTACATAATTCATGTAGCTGCTTATTTGGAAATTCATTTTGAGATAACGCAATATTCTGTTAGTAATGTAGAAATTAACCATTTTGAATGCTATTATCTATTATCAGAACTTTTTAAGAATTTTTTTAGTTTGATGTGCTTTTTTTCCCATCCTAGGTGTACAGAATGTAGAACATGTCCTGTTTACAGTTATTCAAGGAGCAGTTGAATTTCCTGATCCTATAGCACAAAAAACTTGCTTCATTATACTATCAAAGTTAGTCGAACTTTGGGGTAAGAGAATTATAAATCCCACATGATAAGAACAACAATTTAGTTTGTGTCTAATACCACCTGTGTCACAGAGTTTTTTTTAATTACAGGAGGTAAAGATGGCCTCTTAGGGTTTGAAGACTTCATCTATAAACACATCGTCCCAGCCTGCTTCCTTGCACCACTCAAACCAACCTTTGATTTAGCTGATGCTCAAACTATTTTGGTAAGTATTAGATTTTACTGACTTTGTGAACTTTATCATAATAATAATCCTTGCATTTGATTCAGTGCCTTTCATGGCAGAATGACATCTCAAAGCGCAACACAGGATTTGCTATAAAGTGTAGTAAGTGTGTGTTTTGTAGACAAATGTAATTGTAAAGNTTTTTTTATATCCTTAAAAATACAAGATAATCTCTAATGCAGAGACAAAAAGATTGGATTTGAAATATCCAAGTGAATTTAGGGTTCCACATAATCAAATTATCTGTTGCGTAGTACATTTTAATTATAGTCTTAGCATTCTTCAGAAATATTCCATGTAATGTATTGAATAACAGTGGTGGGGGTTGTGAGAAGTTGACCTTTGCAGGTAGTGATACAACTCTCTTTTGAAAAATATTTTAAAGGATCACAAATACCCAGGAGTTTGTTCTGTGAGTCAATAATTAAATCCTGCAGTTCTAAACTTCGTAACTGCTCGAATTTCATTATTGTGGTTGACGTAATCAGCCCTACAGAGTTGTAAATGATGTATTAAGTTAGACATCATGTAGATTAGAATTGTTTACTGCCTTTGTGAGCTTTGTCAATTCTTTCACAAATAATGTTTGAAATTCATTGATTCCTTAACAGGCTCTATCAGAGTGTGCAATAACATTGAAAACTATTCATCTCAAAAGGGTAACAAACATTCATTCTACTACGTACTTAAATTGTTCATTTAAAAAGTAAATTATTGGAATATCCTTCTTTTTTGCCTTATTTAAAAATTAATGTAGTTGTAATAGTTCTTTGTTCTTTTTTCACTTTAGGGTCCTGAATTCATTCAGTATCTTCAGCAAGAATACCTGTTGTCACTGCAGGTTGCCCCAGAAATAATTCAGGTGAGTAACAGTTAGAGCTTCAAGTCACTTTATCCCTGTCTTTGGAACTCCCTCCCTAAATCCCTCTGCTGTCTCCTTTTTGAACTTGAGATCATTTAGTTTGCAACTTTCTAGAATTTCGAGTGCTGCTGCCAGAATTATTTTTTCTTTGTTTATTATTTAGACTCAGTCCAACATAAGAACCTTTTAGGGCGATAAAGATTCCAATATTTGTCTTCATTATTGAAGCAGATTGTTTTAATGATGACCCCAACAACGTATGCCTTGAAGTGGTAGAGAGCACACTTCTCCTGAAATGTTCCAGTCTGATGAATTTTTGGTTTCTGCTGTGCTTATGTGGAAAAGCGCAAAAGTCTAGGCACTTTATCAAAATGAAGTAATATCAGAAGAGTTACAGCATGTGTAGATTAACAGAGCCCAGGCCTGGTTGCAGGTTTTCTGGTATTGACTGGGGTAATGGGTAGCTGATTTGGTCTAAAGAAAGAGAAATTAAAATCTATCTGTGGGTTTACAGTACTGTTGTATTGAAACATGAAAGATATTTTTCCCTTTTACATTTCTTCATAGGAATTTTGCCAAGCACTTCAACAGCCAGATTCAAAAGTTTTTAAAAATTATCTAAAGGTAAGTTAATGGAAAAGTGCAACTTTTTATAGCCGTGTAAGTTGTTGAATCTTAAATATAAAATGGTTATCTTACTAATGGTATTGTGTAATCCCAGGTCTTTTACTCACAAGACCTGAGTTGTTGTAAGCAAATTCCAAACGAGTGAAAACTGAAGTTTCTCAATAGCTGCTGGCAAAATGTTCTAGTACAAGGTCATAATTCGATTTTTGTACAATAGCTGTCTATTTTTCGAAGCCCTCCTGACGTGAAAGGCACTTGTACCATGTTGTAATTTTACTATGTAAGTAGAACGAATTATAAATTTTGAATGCATCCTGACATGAAGGACCATTGGGTCATTAGAAGTTTTACTGGAATAGGAGTTGGAATTACCATACATCAAGGTAATATTGATATGCCAAATACAACAAAAACTTGCATTTATATAGCACCCTTAATGCAGACTAGCATCCCGGAGCGTTTCATAGGGCTTATGGTGATAGCGGTGGAGATCTTTCATTTAGAAATAGCCAAAACGAATGTTGAATGTGCTGTAATGTGCAAGTTTCTGGATTGGAGGAAAACTAAAGCACAGGACTGAAATCTTCAGACCATTAACAATGCTGATAACAACATCTTTTTGTGTTGCAGGTATTCTTTCAGCGAGCAAAGCCTTGATATTGAATCTGAAAAATACCACGTCTTAACATCTCAAGAATCAATTTCATTTCATTTACCCATATGGCTGAAATTGGTTATTAGTAAGGTTTGAAAACCATGTACATTACCCCAAAATGCTTTCTGTGCTTGTGTAGGTTCCATATCTAGCTCCTCATTTTATTTAAATTACATTAATTGATTTGTTACCAATGACTATATTTTGTCCTATTGGATTGTTTAATGAGGTATCGGTGCTAATGCCTAAACACTGTTAACCTATACAAACACAATCTGAATATGTGCTGTTACGAGTGCAGCAGTGAAATTCCATGCTAGTCTTATTAGTCTTTTTTAAAAAAGAAAATGTATTAAAATGAGAAGAATTCATTGTAAAATATGGAACTTGTTTTTGATAGTGGTTGGCCATCACATTATTTGTAAATTTCTATGGCTTGATGAGCAAACATGTTCTAGAGATATAATGAATTAAAGATGAATTTCAGGCTTGGGCATATAACAAACTCAAAATAAATTTGTCGAATATATTTGTGTGGAAAGTTTATTTTTGAATTGAAAAAAATGTAAATGTTACACCACTTTCTTTTATGAACTCTTCCAAGCAGTTGTTGCACAGCTCTTGCTTTTACTATGGTTTATAGGTAAAGAATTGGTCGATTCATAACATAACGACCAACAAGTAAAGGTTAAAAAATGTACTTAAGTCGAAGGACTGTTGGTTCTACTCAGTGGATGGGGATAATATTCTGAAATGAACCACAACCAATCCTTTTATTCAGAGCATAAATTGTATGTGAAATGCCCAAATCTGCAATGATGCCCTGTGGAATGCTGCACAGACACAGAATGAAGACAATTCTGAGAATGAATGGAATTTTAAGATGTGCTGGAGGCTATGCCTGGGCATCATTCTCACATTGATGAGTTGATAAAATATTTTTAAACGATATTTTCATTTGTGGTATTGGGTAACGTGGGTGGGAGAGGGGACAGGAACTCCTAGCTCTCACTTGAAAAGAGCCTTACTTGAAAATTATCAGGTATGAGAAGAGCTAAGAGTACCTGAAAATGATCGAGTACTCTGGGTTAGAGAGGTTCACAGTGTCTCGAAATGTAGTAGACCTTGTAATGTAGTCAGGACGATGTCCTAAGGCACTCGAAGGTGGAGGGCAGAATGACAACAGGTAACATTGCTTTTCAATTAAATCACTTTTAGAACTGATGTCAGTGGATTAAGGAAATGTCAAACCGGGATAAAGTTAGAGCCTTGAATAATTGTGGGTGCAGCTTTTAAATATCAGCCAGCCTGAAGCACAGAATGATTGTGGTTCGTATCCTATGTAGCCGCAATGAGAAAAAGTTTCACTTTGAGCTGCTGCTCCTTTTCCGAGGCATTTTCTGACTCTAAAAGTGACCCTTTTCCCCCATTGCTAGGCATAGAAATGGCTCGCGTTGGTGGGCAAACTCACCAAGCTTCCATGATAAATTGATAATTTACCGATTGTATTTCTGCTTACACACAAAAAAGATCAACAAATCAGGGGGAGCGCAATGGTTGAGCCATTGCATGAAAGTGAGAAGGACCCACAAGCTTTTTTTCTTCTTTTTTTTGCTTCTGAACTGGTTTCATCATTTGGAATTTGTGATTGTGTGAAGGGGTCTTTGTTCCATCATTTGGGACCTCTTGAATTGGAGCACCCTTCCCAGCCGCTAACTCCTACGCTGTTGGGAGACTATTCCTTTCACTGTTTGGGAGCTGAACTACCTTTATTTTCTATCGGGGCAGGGTTTCCTCGGAATTGTAATCGTAATCCAAACACGAGATAAAACAACTCATTAAAAGGGAGAAAATGTGCAATTTGAGAATAACGTCCAAAACAAGTCACTCCACACTATTCTCAACACCGACAGGGCACCGAATCACACTTTTAATGCAGCAAAGTCCGTGTAGGAAGCAGGACTCATTTTAAAACATGTTTCATGTGTCCCGAGAAAGGACCTGGTTGCAAATTAATAATAATAATAATCCTTGCATTTGATGTAGAGCTTTTCACGGCTTCTGGACGTCTCAAAGCGCTTCACAGAATAGACTGTAAAGTGAAAAATGTTTTGTTTTGTTTCAGATGGGTTTTGGGAAGATGCAAAAGAAAAAACATCACCACTCTTAAAGAGTCTGCAAACCGGTTAAGAGTTGCAAACGTGCGTAGACCGACCCACGCGATCTTCCCTCTGAATGGAATGTGCACTCAACCTGGAGCCTCACACTCTGATTACATCACCCCACAGCCTCCCACCCTAACCCCCCCCCCCCAACACCCCACAGCCTCCCACCCTAACCCCCCCCAACACCCCACAGCCTCCCACCCTAACCCCCCCCCAACACCCCACAGCCTCCCACCCTAACCCCCCCCCCAACACCCCACAGCCTCCCACCCTAACCCCCCCCCACCAACACCCCCACAGCCTCCCACCCTAACCCCCACCCAACACCCCACAGCCTCCCACCCTAACCCCCCCCCCAACACCCCACAGCCTCCCACCCTAACACCCCCCAACACCCCACAGCCTCCCACCCTAACCCCCCCCCCCCAACACCCCACAGCCTCCCACCCTAACCCCCCCCCCAACACCCCACAGCCTCCCACCCTAACCCCCCCCAACACCCCACAGCCTCCCACCCTAACCCCCCCAACACCCCACAGCCTCCCCCTAACCCCCCCCCCACCAAACACCCCACAGTCCCCACCCTAACCCCCCCCCAACACCCCACAGCCTCCCACCCTAACCCCCCCCCCCAACACCCCACAGCCTCCCACCCTAACCCCCCCAACACCCCACAGCCTCCCACCCTAACCCCCCCCAACACCCCACAGCCTCCCACCCTAACCCCCCCCCAACACCCCACAGCCTCCCACCCTAACCCCCCCCCCACCCCCCCCCCCCCCCCCCCCCCCCCCCAACACCCCACAGCCTCCCACCCTAACCCCCCCCCCCAACACACCCACAGCCTCCCACCCTAACCCCCCCCAACACCCACAGCCTCCACCCTAACCCCCCCCAACACCCCACAGCCTCCCACCCTAACCCCCCCCAACACCCCACAGCCTCCCACCCTAACCCCCCCAACACCCCACAGCCTCCCCCCTAACCCCCCCCAACACCCCACAGCCTCCCACCCTAACCCCCCCCCAACACCCCACAGCCTCCCACCTAACCCCCCCCCCAACACCCCACAGCCTCCCACCCTAACCCCCCCCCAACACCCCACAGCCTCCACCCTAACCCCCCCCAACACCCCACAGCCTCCCACCCTAAACCCCCCCCCAACACACCACAGCCTCCCACCCTAACCCCCCCCAACACCCCACAGCCTCCCCCCTAACCCCCCACCCCCCACAGACTCCCACCCTAACCCCCCAACACCCACAGCCTCCCACCCTAACCCCCCCAACACCCACAGCCTCCCACCCTAACCCCCCCAACACCACAGCCTCCCACCCTAACCCCCCCCAACACCCCACAGCCTCCACCCTAACCCCCCCCAACACCCACAGCCTCCCACCCTAACCCCCCCCAACACCCACAGCCTCCCACCCTAACCCCCCCAACACCCCACAGCCTCCCACCCTAACCCCCCCCAACACCCCACAGCCTCCCACCCTAACCCCCCCCCAACACCCCACAGCCTCCCACCCTAACCCCCCCCCAACACCCACAGCCTCCCACCCTAACCCCCCCAGAGAGAGAATGGAGGGAGTTCAGCTCCCAAACAGCCTCTGTCCGTGAGTGTGTGTGGGGGCTCAGAGCAGACTATAGGCTGGGGTGGGGGGGGGCAGTGTGTGAGGGGGGCAGTGTGGGGCTGTGTGTGGCGGGGGGTGAGGGGGTGTGGGGCTGTGTGTGGGGGGGGGTGAGGGGGGCTGTGTGTGGGGGGGTGTGTGAGGGGGGGTGTGGGGCTGTGTGAGGGTGTGTGTGTGTGAGGGTGTGGGGGTGTGTGGGGCGGTGTGTGTGTGTGGGGGGGTGTGTGGGGCGGTGTGTGGGGGGGGTGGGGCTGTGTGTGAGGGGGAGCTGTGTGGGGGGGGGTGGGGCTGTGTGTGGTGTGTGTGTGAGGGGGTGGGGCGGTGTGTGTGTGTGTGTGTGTGTGTGTGAGGGGGTGGGGCTGTGTGTGTGAGGGTGTGTGTGTGTGAGGGTGTGTGTGTGTGTGAGTGGGGCGGTGTGTGAGGGGGTGTGTGTGTGTGTGTGTGAGGGGGTGTGTGTGTGTGTGTGTGTGAGGGGCGGTGGTGTGTGAGGGTGGGGGGGTGTGTGGAGGGGGTGGGCAGTGTGTGAGGGTGTGTGTGTGTGAGGGGGTGGGGCGGTGTGTGAGGGGGTGTGTGTGTGAGGGGGTGGGGGGTGTGTGTGAGGGGGTGGGGGGTGTGAGGGTGTGTGTGTGTGAGGGGGTGGGGCGGTGTGTGAGGGTGTGTGTGTGTGTGAGGGGGTGGGGCGGTGTGTGAGGGTGTGTGTGTGTGTGTGTGAGGGGGTGTGAGGGTGTGTGTGTGTGGGGGTGTGTGAGGGTGTGAGGGGGGGTGTGAGGGTGTGTGTGTGTGTGTGTGAGGGGGTGGGGCGGTGTGTGAGGGTGTGTGTGAGGGTGTGGGGCGGTGTGTGAGGGTGTGGGGGGTGTGTGTGAGGGGGTGGGGGGTGTGAGGTGTGTGTGTGTGAGGGGGTGGGAGCGGGTGTGTGAGGGGGTGTGTGTGTGTGAGGGGGTGGGGTGGTGTGTGAGGGGTGAGGCTGTGTGTGTGTGTGAGGGTGTGAGGGGGTGTGTGTGTGTGAGGGGGTGTGTGTGTGTGAGGGGGTGGGGCGGTGTGTGAGGGTGTGTGTGTGTGTGTGAGGGGGTGGGGCGGTGTGTGAGGGTGTGTGTGTGTGTGTGTGTGTGAGGGGGTGGGGCGGTGTGTGAGGGGGTGGGGCGGTGTGTGTGTGTGTGAGGGTGTGGGGGGGTGTGTGTGAGGGGGTGGGGCGGTGTGTGAGGGGGTGAGGTGGCAGGTTCTCGGCTTCCGGACATAATTGGCTGTTGCACAAACCAACACGGAAGTGGCCGGAAGGACAGAGCAGCGGCACAGCTCAGACCCTCAGGTACAGGGAGCGGGGCCCGGGGGGGGGGGCGCGGGGGCAGCAGCGCCTCGGGGGGAGGGCGCTGTGCTCGGCCTGGGGGGGGGGGGAGGGTTGAGGGAGGCCGCGCGGCCTGTTGAGGGGAGGGGAGGGGTGGCCGGGCCCGGGGGGAGGGTGAGGCCGGTGAGCAGAGTGTCAGCTCCCACCGCCCCCCCACAGCCACAGCTCCCACCGCCCCCCCACAGCCACAGCTCCCACCGCCCCCCACAGCCACAGCTCCCACCGCCCCCCCCACAGCTCCCCCCCCCCCCACAGCTCCCACCGCCCCCCCCCACAGCTTCCACCGCCCCCCCCCACAGCTCCCACCGCCCCCCCCCCACAGCTCCCACCGCCCCCCCCCCCAGCCACAGCTCCCACCGCCCCCCCACAGCCACAGCTCCCACCGCCCCCCCCCCCACAGCTCCCACCGCCCCCCCACAGCCACAGCTCCCACCGCCCCCCCCCCCCCCCACAGCTCCCACCGCCCCCCCCCCACAGCTCCCACCGCCCCCCCCACAGCCACAGCTCCCACCGCCCCCCCCCACAGCCACAGCTCCCACCGCCCCCCACAGCCACAGCTCCCACCGCCCCCCCCCCCCCCACAGCTCCCACCGCCCCCCCCCACAGCTCCCACCGCCCCCCCCACAGCCACAGCTCCCACCCCCCCCCCACAGCCACAGCTCCCACCGCCCCCCCCCACAGCCCGCTCTGCCCCCCACAGCCCGCTCTGCCCCCCCACACACACAGCCCACTCTGCCCCCCCCACACACAGCCCGTTCTGCCCCCCCCCACACAGCCCACTCTCCACTCTGCCCCCCCCCCACACAGCCCGCTCTGCCCCCCCCACACACAGCCCGCTCTGCCCCCCCCCACACACACAGCCCGCTCTGCCCCCCCCCCCACACACAGCCCGTTCTGCCCCCCCCCCCACACAGCCCGCTCTGCCCCCCACACACAGCCCACTCTCCACTCTGCCCCCCCCCCCACACAGCCCGCTCTGCCCCCCCCACACACAGCCCGCTCTGCCCCCCCCCCACACACAGCCCGTTCTGCCCCCCCCCCCACACAGCCCGCTCTGCCCCCCCACACACAGCCCACTCTCCACTCTGCCCCCCCCCACACAGCCCGCTCTGCCCCCCCCCACACAGCCCGCTCTGCCCCCCCACCACACACAGCCCGTTCTGCCCCCCCCCACACAGCCCGCTCTGCCCCCCACACACAGCCCACTCTCCACTCTGCCCCCCCCCACACAGCCCGCTCTGCCCCCCCCCACACAGCCCACTCTGCCCCCACACACACAGCCCGCTCTGCCCCCCACCCCGCCTCCCATATTGCTGTGTTTATCTCCTGTTGGTCCTGGACAGCAATTCCCCCCCAAATGAAACATGTCGCTGACTTCACGGCTGTTTGTGGTTTTGTTGCCGCCGCGTTTCGCCAACAAAATACATATGGAGTGGGCGGGTTGTTGGGATCTAAAATGCATGGCCTGAAGGGGTGATGGGAGCCAACTCTTTTTTTTGAGAGAGAGAGAGAGAGACGTAGATAATTATTTTGGGGGGGGGGGACAGACAAGTTTGCAGGGCTGTGGGGAGAGCGCGGGGGAGTGGGATTGAATTGGAAACTCCTTTCGAAGAGCCGGCACGGACACTGACACGATGGACCGAATGACCTGATGGTATAGTCATTCCACTTTCCCAGTACGGCCTGGGAAGCGCTTTGACGTGTTTCTCGATCAAATGCAAGGATTATTATCGTCATCACGTTTATTTAGCACCTTTCACATTTCACTTGAGCTGGGGGCAGGAGTCGAAATGGTGGGGAGGGGAAAGATGACTGTAAGCGCGGTCAAAGAGGTGTGTTTTGAGACGGGCTCTTGCCTTTTGTCTCAGCCCAAATCTTGCTCAAAATTGTAAGCAGTAATAAGTGGGCCTTATCATCCCAATCCTTTTTTTAAATCAAAAGGCCAAAATCACCGTCTTGAGCAGTCTGAATGCGCTGTTCATGTCGTCTCCTCCTTCATCTGATTTCAAATCATTTGGATCCCCCTGGATTCTGTGTTGTTTTGCCAATAAATTGGCTAACGTTTTAAGACAGGAGGGAGCTCGGAGAGATTGGCCTATTAAAGACCACACTTTTGTTGCATTGTCTTCCTAAATATGTTGTAGCTAATGGGAATTTACTTACATCTGAAACCTCATGTTGCCACACAAGTCCAACAGTGAAAAAGGAAAACCTACCTGCAGCTCGAGCTTAGTGAAAGCAAATCACTGGCTATCACTGCAACATGTAACCATTCCATTGTTTGCTCAACTAGGACCATCTGACCTCTTGAGAGGCTGTCTCGAAGTTATTTGTTCCAATGAATTTAGTTGCACTATATCAGATAATACAAATTTGTAGGGAATGTATCTTTGAAATCTGGGTATGTAAACCCGCACAATTCTAATTGTAAGTGCCTCTAGGCCTAGTTGGGAAGTTGACTTTAGTGCAGCTATTAATTTAAAGAAATGTTTGGGAAAGGACAGTAATTAAAGTGAGATGGTTTCTGGCTATTCTGACACCTTGTTGAACTGTCAGAAATGTTAAGGTTGACCCAAAATGGTCTAATTGACATTCAGTTAGTAAGCATTGAAACATGCAAGTATATTAAAATTGCTACAGAATTTTACTAGCATTGCAATGACCTTTAGTTGTCTGAACTAGACTGTTTTGAACAGACTTCTAAGGTGAGGGGGTGGGCAAGGATTCGCTTTTTATACATTTTGCGCTGTGAGAAGCAGAGATAAGTGATTTGGGAGAATTTTTCATGAGTTTTATTTACAGCACTTTAAATTGGTCGATAGCTGAATTTGTGTGGTATGGGTTCATTTGCAGTAATGAAATCCCTTTTAGAATGTTAACTAACGATCGGATTTCACAGTGACCCAGTAACCTTACTTTCTTTTGCTTTCTTTGAGTACAGTTGCTTAAATACTGTAATTATTGTAATTCATCTGGGTGCTGCCATTGAGTGAACATGAGAATGAAATAGGCCTCTAGGAAATTGTTTACAAATAAGCTATATTGTACGATGTTTCAAACCTTGAACATATTCAAGACTGAGATTGATAGATTTCTTGTGGATAAAGGGATTAAGTGATATGGGGATAAGGCGGGTAGGTGGAATGATCTTATTGAATGGTGGGGCAGGCTAGAGGGGTCGAATGGCCAACTCCTGCTCCTAATTCTTATGTTCTTATGTTTCAATAAAACCATGCTTTCTTTGTCATAGCAAAATGATAACCCTATTGTCCCCCCACCCCCCCCCCCCAATATTTAGTATTTCTAGACAAAGCTTTAAACTGAAATTCAGCAATTTGGAGGATAATTTCCCAGAGATGGTCTGGGGAAATCCCAGAATGTTCCTGGATGAAACTTCAAGGAAATAACTGCTATTTAAAGATTTCTTCTGGTTAGTGCAGTGAGTCAGTGCTTGGCCTGTCCACGTGCCTAATCTGAATCTATTGTTGTGCTTTTTTTTCAGACTTCAGCTAAAAGCTTTTTTTAAAACAAAAGCTTAGCCATGCAGAGCACAGCAAATTACCTGTGGCTCATAGCTGATATTCTTGGGCAAGGAGCCACTGCAAATGTATATCGTGGTCGGCACAAGGCAAGTTTCACAAAATCTGCTTATTGGTCGGGTGAAGAATTTTGCTTGTAGTATTCTGATTGTGCCATTTGTTTCCCAAATTCTTCCATTTGTTTGGAAAGGGTCCTTTATCTGGGATGAATGCAGAAATTAATTTTGAATATGTTATTTTCTGTTTCTAATAAAGATCCTCCAACTCCCTTGTTCCACTTCCTCCTCAAGTCTGGCCAGTGACTTTAGAGCATCCTTTCACTAAAAAGGAATGCACTTTGTTACAATGAGAGGTCTCAGAAGTGCAAGTAACACTATATTTCTCACCTCGTCTGCTCTTCTGAATGTGTTTTCCATTTTCCCTTTCACTGGGAAGTGGAGTCCTGTAGCTCAGTAGTTAGAGCACTCGCTTTGCAAGCGAGAGACCTGAGTTCAATTCCAGACAGGGCGAAACCTTGGGCAAGTTTCCTTACTCCACACACCTAATAATAATCCCTCCAAAACCAAAAACAATAATAAAATTGGTCATTTTCAATCTACGACTGTTTGTGGGACATTGCTGTGCGCAATTGGCTGCTGCGTTCGCCCACAAATATACAGTCAATTCACTTTACAGTGTGTTCTGTGAAGCACTTTGGGATGTCCTCCCGACGTGAAAAGCGCTATATCAAATGCAAGGATTATTATTATTATAAGTAGATTTCCTCAGGCACCAGTCATTCCAACTGTTAGTGATTTGTGAGGCTTTACTATGTGTCAGTAGCCATTTTAATCAGACGGGAGGTGAGCAGAATACAAATGTATCCTCATGACTTGTTCCAGCGCAAACTTCCCACTGCACACCCTGTACAGTGTTCCCATCTCCTGAAATCATCCCTCGTGGAAAAAAAAATCTTGTTCCTGGATGTGGCAGCTACTCCAATAGTGAAAAATTCCTATGAAAAGATTATAAAGAAATAGAGAATCACTTTTGCTGATCAATCCTGTTTCGTTGTATGAACCCTTTGAACCTGAAAAGGCCTGAATGTGATCAATATTGATTTTACAGATTTTTAAAAAATCTGAATTCAGAAACAAATATTAAAAAAATCTGATTTCAATTTTCCACAGAAAACAGGTGATCTATTTGCTGTCAAAGTGTTTAACAACATCAGCTTCCTGCGTCCAATCGAAGTCCAGATGAGAGAGTTTGAAGTTCTTCGAAAACTAAATCACAATAATATTGTCAAATTGTTTGCAGTGGAGGAAGAGGTAATGGCATGTAATCCACTTTATTCTTTCACAGGTTACTAGATCAACATTGCAGCACCCTGTGAGCAAGGGCATTTGAATAACGTTCCACAGAATTAAATTTAAAAAAAAATTTTATAAAAAAAAATTTAAAAAAACAAGTTGGCTTGTGAGAGGTATAATTTTTTCCAGGCTGATGGAACTGTCAAGTGAGGTTCAAAGAGTGTCTGTGATTTAGAGCTTTGTTTCTAATCTACAGGATCTACCTGAGTACTGTGACCAGCGTTATGCTGATCAACTGTGCTGAGGACACAGAAACATCTGTGAAAGTGTGTAATGATAAAACTGCCAAATTCAATACTTTAGACTAGGAGCCAACCACACAATTATAAAAATATGTGAGAACAAAATTTAGAGCAGATATCAGGAAACGCATATTTATTCATAGCAGTATGAATATAAATATTTGGAATAATCTATCAAAGCAAAATAATAGAAACAAAAATATTGACTTTATACAAAACAGTTCAGGTCGCATGATGGGGAGAGCTTACGCTGAAGAGATGAGATTTATTGCATTGAATGGTCTACTCTCATCACTGACATTTGTTTTTGTTCTTCAAATCCATTTTCCCACATCCTGCTCAATGCTGTTTGTCATTGCAGTGCAAGGCTAACAATTGTGTGCAGGATCTGTTTTGAAAGCTTTTTAGCATTCACATGGTTCATTTGACATGCCACAATGCAGGAATTACTTTACAAGATTACATGGAAATCTTTATCCTGTATATTTTGGTGATAACTTTACAGCCGAGGGATGTGAAAAGAAACATCATTGATGTAATGATCTGCAGTGCATGACATTAGATAAAACAATGCGCCCTTGATAGTGTTGTGAAGATCTTCTTATCCCCTCCCTCACTACCTCAATGAGTGAAAGATCAACACAACTCATCTGTCCATGTAGATAATCCTTGATTCTCGTAAACCAAATTCCTATTTCGGCCTATTTTAATCTTGCCATATTTCTGCTTTTCCCTTCCTGTAGACAACATCCAAAAAAATTCGCCCATAGAATATATAGTCAATGCAACTTACAGTACATTCGGTAAAGCGCTTTGAGACTTCTCGAAGATGTGATAAGGCGCTATATCAAATGCAAGGTTTATTGTTTTTATATAAAGTCTATGTGAACCACTTGATCATAGAATATTATGCACAATATTATACATGTTGTTTGCAGTATGACCGTGTGTGCTTTTGTCTAGACTACCACCAGAAATAAAGTGCTTGTCATGGAATTTTGTTCGTGCGGAAGCCTATACACGGTTTTAGAAGAGTCAGGGAATGCTTTCGGCTTACCAGAATCGGAATTCCTGATAGTGCTGCGTGATGTGGGTATGTACTAAATAGCAACATTTGCAGCGTGGTGAACAGTAAAACGGATATACATTTTCCCCAAGTTTGGAAGTGTAGTTTGAGTTTTAGAAAATGGGTTTTAGAAAAAAAAATTCTGAAGTAGTGAGGTAGATAATAAAGTACTGTACTCTGTTTCACCTCCCACCAAACTATCAGCAAATCACTTTCAATCATTAACTGTGGACGCAGTGATTATGGATAATTGTCATTTTAAGAACTAATTGCATTTGTTTGTCAGACAACAAGCATTGTTTGCTCTCTGATCTGGGGGTGACTTTTAACTTATGGCTCTTTTAACTCATTTTTTGTCACAAGGTAATAGCGTCCAATAGTACTCCAATAAATTAAACGCTGATAAGAATCAATATTTAATTCTAAATGCACAATCACGGCACTTTATACTAAAATCCTGTGAAGTGCTTTGAGATGCTTTGATGATGTGATAAGGCGCTACATTAAATGCAAGGATTATTATTGTTCCTATGTATGTGAATCAAAAGCAATTGATTTGAAATACCGAACTCTTCTGAAGAAAATAAATTATTTGTCATGAATTTCCATTTAAATCAACAGTGGCTGGCATGAACCACCTAAGAGAAAATGGAATAGTCCACCGAGATATCAAACCGGGGAATATCATGCGTGTGATTGGTGAAGATGGACAGTCTGTCTACAAACTCACTGATTTTGGAGCAGCCAGAGAATTGGAGGATGATGAACAGTTTGTGTCACTTTACGGAACTGAGGAATATTTAGTAAGAATCTATTCTTTATAGGTCTTGAGGTTCATTCATCTGTATGTCTCTGAGTGGCCTCATAGCTGCAGTAGTAGCTGCCCTTTGAAGGGAGGGTGTGCTGGGGCCTAACTCCTAACTGTAGTTAATGCTCTCTTGGACTGCCCACCAAGTCAATGATCCTTGATTGAATTATTTTATTACATTGGTTAGAAATAGAACATAAAATACCAACTCATTCATTCTCTGCATTTACAGTGATTATAGTTCAAATCCCAAGTCAGTGATTGTTATATCAAAGGTTAGCACTACAATAGCGTACAAATACAGAGGGGACTCTATCTAATTTCACTTTCTGCTAATCCAATTTGAAATTAGCTTCACATGTACCTCATTGCTCTGACAATTGAATTGAGCTATGTTTAGATTCTAGTATCTCTGTGTTAAATTAACACATCATTCTCTGCTTGTCTGGTGAATCTGGTACATCAAAAGTTGATTTCTCAGCAGGCAATTTGCAGAGTTGATTGACAGCAGCATAAACCGGCGATGAATTAAACCTTGGCAGCAGGATGTAGCTCTAAAGCAATGGCGTAGCCAGGAATAGAATTTTGGGTGGGCACCAACTTATGGTGGACAGGCAATGACTAAGTTTCCATTTCTAGCTGCACCTCTGTATCATACCTACCGCTCTCTTCCTATCGCTCTCCTCGCTGCCTCAATGAGGCATGCTGAGAGCGACTGTTTCCCAGCAGTTAAACTATGAATTTTGTAAAGCTAGGTAAGATATTTCAACATGTTTTGGTAACCAAACATGAAAAAATTAATCAGATTTGAATGAATATGTGTAGTTCTGGTGATCTTGGCTGGATAAGTTTGATCTCCTTTGATAGTGTTTATTTCTGCCGTACTCAGTAAACTCTTAATCTAGCCAAGAACATCCGGATAATATAGTTAATTAATGCTGTTATCTTGAGTAAAGGATTCACTCTAACATAAATGTTATATTTCATTAGCATCCAGACATGTATGAACGAGCAGTGTTGAGAAAGCCTCAGCAGAAAATGTACGGTGCAATTGTTGATCTGTGGAGTATTGGAGTCACCTTTTACCATGCAGCTACAGGCAATCTTCCATTCAGACCATTTGAAGGACCACGCAGGAATAAAGAAGTAATGTAGGTTCAATGTTTTCTATTGCACAAACTGGAACCTACATTGTCTTATTCAGGGGTTGCTATGTGTTGATTTAAATGGGCATTTCGCATTGTAGCATCGTTGCAACGCTATTTTTGTGGAAATGTCAAATTATACACTTATACACTATTTCCTGTACGATTAAGATGCTTTTAAATATTGAAATTTTGGTTTAGATATCTAGTATAGTTTAATTGTTGATGTCAAATGGAGGAGCGTTGTTAGTGAGAATCACCAGTAACTGGGAATGTGTTCGATGGCTTTAAAACACTCGAGGGGTTTAGATAAGAAGAGTACAGTTTACATTATCCAAATCTAGAGAATGTGCTCGATATGAACATAATTATCTATTCATTCAAGATGGGCTTACATTTTCGTGGTGGTTGTCAAGGGCAGGGTGTACTAGATTGCACTGGGCATCATTTAGCTCAGTGGTCTCTGGGTCAGAAGTTATGGGTTCTAGGCTTCATCAGGATTAAGTTGATAGACTAGGCTGACATGATAAGGCACTATATTAAATGCAAGGACTATTTTTATTATGTATCTCGTTGAATGTTTGATCGTATACATATCCAAATATATTAACTTGTATGAGGCCACATGCTTTGCGATATATTTGGGTAATCATATCCCGAACAATGTCTGCAAAAGAAATTACATTAATTTATTAAAGTGATCTCAATGTTTTCAATTCCTCTGAAGCATTTTTACACTGTTGTATCTCAGGTACAAGATAATTACAGAGAAACCTCCTGGAGCAATATCTGGGGCTCAGAAATCAGAAAATGGGTCAATAGTTTGGAGTGACAAATTGCCAATCTCTTGCAGTCTTTCTACGTAAGTGTCTGTTCGTGAATAATGCTAACAATCACTTTATGTAACTAGTGTATTGTAACTCTTGCCTTTCCAATTGCTAGAGTGCTTAGTTTGTCTCTGTTGTCTTAAACAGTTTTTAAGTGCTTACCGCACGGCAGAAATAAGTTTCAGAAGATATCAACAGCGATGATGATCTGCATAGTGTTTAGGGAAATGCGTTCGGTTTTTAATAAAGAAAATACTTAAGATTGGGTCCAAATGTGAACCCTCCCTGGAAGGGATTTATGTTTGCCTCACTGACGAGGTATTATTGTGTATGCATGCTGCATCCATTCTGTACCCTGAGTAATGCTACTATTTTGTGTAAACTGTATTGGACATGATGCCAGTTCATGACCCTAGTAATGAATAAGTTAAAATCCAACTGGAACTCAAGTTGACAATGTGCAGCAGCCAGTCACGATTATTTGTGATCCTAAATTAAGCAATTATTGGGCAATTGTTTTAAAAAAAGTATTATTTGTTCTTGGAAGATCTACAGTTGGAATAATCTACATCCTGAGATGGCAGCGCTAATAGTTTCTGAGATGTTATTCATTCCTGGTTCCCCTTAAGTATTCAATTATGTTCATTACAAAACATGGCGGAGCTTGACTCCCATTGATAAATCTATTTTAATATAAAAGTATCTTCTTTCCACAGGGGCCTGCGTTCCATGTTGATTCCCGTTCTGGCGAATATACTTGAGGTTGATCAGGACAAGTGCTGGGGATTTGATCAGTTTTTTGTGGAAACGAATGACATCTTGCACAGAGTAGTCATACATGTCTTCTCGCTGCAGCAAGTCACCCTTCACAAGATTTACATTCAAACATACAATACGTATGTATTTTATTTTTAAGTATTTGTCAATAAGAAAGTGCTGCAGTTGTACTCATTTCCAGGATAGAACTGTTTTTCACAATTTACAAACTTAGCTTGTGTAAAATATGCAGTAGTACAGATATTAAAACAAGCTATTGTAATCTAAATATCTGCAATTTTCTTTACAGAGCCAATGTATTTTATGACTTGCTCTATAAACAGACAAATGTTCCGCCCCAGAATCAAGAGCTAATCTTTGAAGGCCGACCGCTTGATCTCGAACCCAATGTACAAGCACAGAATTTCCCTAAAACTTCTGAAGAGAATCCTCTGATACTCGTGAGCAGTGAAGCAGTGAATACACTGGGCCTGATCTTTGAGGAACGTACGTATACAGATTGTTAGATTTTTTAAGTGTTTTAGCTGAAATGCCACTTGATGGAACTTATTTTGATAATAGGAGGGTAAAATAATAATAATAATCCTTGCATTTGATAGAGCGCCTTATCACGTCTTCAAGGGGTCTCAAAGTGCTTTACACTTTACTGTAAAGTGCATTGACTGTATATTTTGTGGGCAAAATGCAGCAGCCAATTACACGCAGCAGTTTCCGACAAACAGGCATGGATTAAATGACCATACTATTATTATTTATTTGAAGGGGTTATTACCCCCAGAAAAGCAATCTGCCAATCGACTAACAACATTTGGGTTCCTACTTACTGCTAGGTAAACAGAGGTGTGTGGAGTACGGAAGCTTGCCTAACATTTCACCCTTTTTTGTGTTTGATTAACATTGAAAAGGAGCAATTAGTTCAGGTGCAGCTAATGGAAGTTTTAATACTTGGAATGAATGCAGAGAAATAGCCTTGAAAGATTACTTGTTTTTGTCTATCTAGGCACCAACCCACCCTTCTTTCTCTGCTATTAACACTTAGCTTTGTTTACATGATGCAAGTTGTCAATGGTCAACTCAAGAAATGTCCACTGTGTCCTAGACTCACTCTCAGGTGTTGTCTCTTTGTAAACACTCGCTTCCCCCTCCCTCCGCCTCATTATTGATGAGTTCTTCGCTTCTGTAGTTAACTCACATAGATTTGGTAATTTGGACATTTTTGCAAGGGAGAAGGTTGTATATAAGTTTAAAAAAAACAGAAGAATGGTCAAAGGTGAAATGCTTATATTACAGGGAATCAAAACAAAAGTTGGTTCATGTCATGATTACTTTGCCATTTGTCTAAATACTAATCCTGTATTAGTAGAATACTAGAACTGCAATGTAATAAAAGTAAACTCCTTTTTTCTATTTCAGCTACAGCTCCAAAAGTAAATCCACGGTATGATTTAGATCTTGATGCTTCGTGTGCAAAGGTAACAATCTTTCATGGTACCTTTTAGTTCAATAGCTTTACAGAAGGCCATTCTTCATGTGAACTTCGAGAATAAATGTTGGCTGGCTTATCAACCATGGAGAGCATCACTGTTGAGCCCAATTTTGTCATACCTGACATTTGTATGAAATTCTTTCCAGCATGGGTTACTGGAGCAAGAATCCTGGACAATTTTTCCCCTTCCCCCTTCTCTGTTCAGCAATGTTGGGTCAGATAAGATAAATCAGCACAGGTCAGAAATGCAACCTTTTGTCTGTGCACCTTCATGCTCAACTGGCTACTGCTCTTACTGACTAGGTCATCAGGGCACTCTACATAAATAAACTTTCAATTTAAAAAGTAATAAAATTGAGAATAAGCATTGAACATTGCTCATAGCTCAACAAGTGATATGTTAAGCCTGTTATCTGATAAAATACATATTTTCTACTTCCAATTACAACTTACAGGTATGTCCCTGACAGTGTTCTGTGAGCTTTGCTTGTAATTGTCTCTTTTAGCTAGGCTCAATTACATTCCTTCAGATACTGGGAAATATGGGAGGAAATGGTCATTTCCTCTCTTGTAACCCAGTTCTCGGACAATGCTTCCATTTATCAATCCTACTAGCATTGGCGGTCGAAGACAATCCATGGCTTTGTCCCAAACATACTTTTTTCGTGTGGAGGTAGAGAAATAATTCATGTAATGAAAAATTCATGCAAATTTAGTTGCCTCTCACAAACTGAATTTGAATAGACTAAAAAAAACTGTGAGGAACATCTTCTATAAAGCAGAACAACTTGATGTTTCAAAGCTGAGCACTGACCTGATTTGGTGTGCCCCCTATAATCATGTTATTTGCTGTTCTGTACTGTACCCTAAGAATTCCTTTAATCAGAAACATTGATACTTGTATTCTGTTCAGCATCATTAACATTTTGAACTCATAAACTAACATGACAAAAAGATTGAGTTACCAATTTTATTTGTTTTAGACCATTACAGGCGTTGTTTGTCAAGCTCAGAAAATATCGGCCTCCCTCTTGCATTATCAAGAGTTGGTGCGGAAGGGTGTTCGATGGTGGATGTAAGTGAATTCCATTTTTATGTTTGCTGCAAAGGTACATTGCTAATCTTCCACATCCCACGAGCATTTCAACACCAGCAGCATCTATTGCTTTAGCAGCATATTGAGCATCCATCTTGGTAATGTCACACATCTGACCTCCTCCAGCTCTTTCACATGCCATCTTCTATGTGCCTTGTATATAATACCTTGTAGTTGTACTGGTTCTATTAACATAACATTCCTTATTCAGTGATCCAGCTTAGTTTGGTTTAGAGGAACCGGGGTAGACCATGCAGCCCCTTGAGCCTGTTCTGCCATTCTATGAAATCATGGCTGATCTGTACCTCAACTCCAATTACCCGCCCTTGCCCCATATTCCTTGTATTAATAATTCGACAGGCAGTGTAAGAGTATAGTGTTTATTCCACTAATATCAAATATATATATGACAAACGGTAAAGGTCAACAATTTGTATTCAAATCATATAACCATATAACAACACAATAGTCCGCTCCATACAATGACACAGATATGCAAATCAAATAATTGAGAAACAACAGCATGCACTCAGGAATTGCTCAGTACTCCAGACCAAACAATAAGCCCGAGAACGCACCTCAACGTACACAGCAGAGATCAGCTCCTGGAAATCCCTCGGGGACAACTGATTCTATAATACAAAATGTAATAGGGACTGGCATCCGGTAAACCCTCGGACACAACCGAACCTATAAAAACAATACTTAATCACAGAACTATCACACAGAATCACAGAGAGTGGCTCCTGTAAACTCAACAGAAACAATCAGCTCTTAGCCCAGCACCTCACTCATGCTGCCTAACCTGACTTCTGTGTTTCAAACGGACCAACCACTACTACTGTTATTACTTCTCTGCCTAGCAAACAGAACTGAAAACATACTACCCACTATTCCTTCTCTTTCATTTTTAGTGGTCGCTTTCTTACTGGAGGTAAATTCCCTCACCCCTGTACATAAACATAGATACAGTAGAATCGATATTGATTCCACTGGGAAGTGCACTGACCGTCTACACAACTTCAACTATTTCAAAGTTACATCTTTCTTTTATGTGTTTCTAACTCCACCTCCCCTTGTCACAGAGATAGCCCCCACCCTTCGCAGGCTGCTTTGCACAGAGAGAGAGATATGGACAGCTTCTGGGCAGCCTTCCACAACCTGCTAGTTTCTCAGCCTCGAGATGGCAGGTGTCTGAGGCTGTAGCCTTTTCTTTCTGAGGTCCATTGTTCTTACATCTATGCTCAAGGACCCGATTGCTCATTATCTCAGAGGAGTGAACATCTTCCCAGGAAAATATGAAATGTTAATCAGAAGCTAATCTCAGCCTGTCCAGCAAAGCTACTTTTAATCCCCAATTCTTCTGGAACATTCGGTTGCTGCTGTCAATATACATACCAATGTATCCCGAGGTGATAGTCAGTATATTTCAACACTTGATACCCTTGCCTATCAAATATCTATCCACCTCACTCTTGAAAACTTGAATAGATCCAACATCCACAGCCTTTGGGGCAGAGAGTTCCGGATTTCCACTGCCCTTTGGGTGAAAAACAGACAACACGTTTCACTCCTAAATGGCCTAGCTCTAATTTCAAGATTATGACCCCTTGTTCTGGATTACTCCTCAGGCTTGGAGACATGAGATTTATATAGTGTAGTTCTGATTTAGTTTTCATCAACTTTCTTTTAAAAACCCAACATTTCACCAAAATGTGACAAGTTGTTTACAATAAAACTTAAGCGAAGGTTTCTCCACTAGACGAATCATCATGGAAAATTACCATGAAACATTGCACAAAAAGAATGAAGTGATTCTGAAGCTGAATTTCTGCATCAGCAATGTTGAGCGGACAAGAAATCTGTGAGTATCAATCGTCATTTACTTCACGGCTGTTTGTGGGATCTTGCTGTGCGCAAATTGGCTGCAACATTTGTCTATAAAATGCACAGTCTGTATACTGTACAGTAAATGCTCTGCAATGCTTTGAGATGTTTCAATGACACAATAAGGCACTATATCAAATACAAAGATTATTATTCTCCTGATGATTTAGTATTCATAATTTGGTGGAATGTTTACTTGTACATTTGTAAATTAATATCCATGCAGATAAATCTTTAAAAATAAATCTTTAAGACAACAATAGGTCAGTCTTTTTTTCAGTAACAATGTTCAGTAAGAATTTAATTTCTGAAAATAAAAATTAGTCTTCAGTCTGCCTTTATGCAGCAGTCAGGGTTACCTCACATAAAAAGATATGCTCTCCTTGGCTGAAAATCAACTTTGACGGTCAATTATTTCTTAGCTTGCGCATTAATAATTGACACAACCAGCTGAAACTCTAAAAAATATATTTTTTTCTGATAAACGTATTATAGTTTTGGTCTTATCTGAATATTGCTTAGTATTCAGTGGCTGAGTATTTTTTTTTTTGCGAGTCAGCTGCAAAATTGATTTGAAATGCTTCATTTTTTAAAATGCAATGTTAGCTGTTCATAAAGAAAGTGTCAGGATAAATACAAATTACCACCTGTATTGATGGCTTGGGTTATGTAACTTTACAGGTACGACAGTTTGCTGCAGACGAACATTTTGCCGTCAGAATTGGAGGAAATTCCAGAAATTCACAGCAAAATTCATCGTGTGAGTAAATGTTCTGTTCAGATCAACTGAAGCTTGCCTCTTACTACTGTACTTTATGTAATAAGATGGGTCATGAAGTTACTTGTACTTTGAGCCACCCCGCAAAAAAGGTTAGTTTGTGTCTATTTCTACAATGGGACCAATCAGAAAAAATATCTGTAGGGCAGGGTTGTCCAATACATTAACCACCAGCCACACATGGCGAATTGGGAACCCAAATGTGGTGAAATTGCATTTTTGATTAGCAAATTGCCGTCATTGGGCATGTGATCTCAATACTCGCATTCGCACCTCATATACATTTGTACTTTGACCTTTTTGTGTTTGTTGGTAAAATGGTAAGACGAAAATCGATGTGTGTACTTTACTTCTTCGTTTTTAATAATGTTACAACATCAACAACAACTTGCAGTTATATGACGCCCTCCATGCAGGGTAGTGTCGCAGAGTGCTTAAAAAAAATTGGGCAATTTTATGCAAATATTATCTTTACAAACACAAGAGGTCTTTTTAAAATTCCTCCACCTTTGATTTTATTAATGAAGAAGTTACACGACAAAGCAATCTCCAGTGAACTGGAGATCAGTTGATTGTTGATCAGTTCATATTATTTAAGGTTGCTTTTGAAGGGAAAGTAGAGCACCATTTAAATATTTGCAAATGTTTGAATGATTTTCTCAGTTTCTCTTGCTTTCTCTCTCAATTGTGTACATTTCATACAAGTTTAGATTTGATCCTCAGTCATAATTTCCTTTCTTGTTTGTTGTGCAGTTGGCTGGTTCTTTGGATTCCATAAATCACAACCTTAAGGATATAGAAACCAAATTACTCCCTGGTAGTTCATTATCCGATCACTGGGCATATGAAGGAGGAACTCATCCAGAGGACAAAAAGTAAGTTCACATTTCTAAAGTATGTAATTCTTTTCATTGCATTAACACTCTTAGTTATTAGAATATTTATCAACCAAAATTTGTGTTCTTTTGTCAGTATTGAAAAACTTCGGGTACTCCTGGACTTGATAACTGACATCTATCATCAGTTCAAAAAGGATAAGACAATACACAGTAAGCTCTTCTAACTGTTACACATTTTGAAAAAAAAAACAAGTTTGAGATGCAAGGAGGCAAGTATTCTGGGATACTTATTTTTTACTCACTCAGAATATTACACAGATGTGAAATTTTCACAAGTGAAGCTGACTGTATATTTCAGGAAGAGCATAAATTAACATCAACCTAAGGTCGGCTCAGCAAAACACGTGCAGTATTTGTGGTATGTTTGCCAAGCCAGCAGGGATAAGCTTTGAGACGTTCTGCTGAAGTGAAAGGCGCTACATAAATGTAAATCGTATTGTATATTTTGGTTGTAGACTATAAACAATCCAGTGATCTCATATCTCCAGTATTGAAATTGAAATGCGCTCAGTTATCATTACATGAGAGATCTTCAAGTCATCTGATGTTCCATAAAGTTGTTCCTACTAAAATTGCCTGATTTGTACATCATTCTGTTCCTTGACACAGCACTGGTAACTAAATATGTATTTTACCCAATTTTAAAAAAAAGTTAACATATAGTTAGTAAACACCATCTGGTAACAAACTCTACATGAGTATAGCACACATGGTCAAGTGTGCACATGTAATGAGAAATCCCAGTATAAGAGCACAGAAGTTGTAACCACATGGAGCTTCACTCTAATATCCACGCAAAACTACTGTATTCCTGACTTTTCTTTGAATTTAAAGGTTGTTTCATAGATCATGCCAGAGTGGAGTTTCCTTGGGTCCTTGGCACTTCTAGTTACCCCCAGGGTTCAATATTTATGATTCAGTTGCGAATATTGTGTTTTTGACCCCACTATATACTATAATTTGACCACAAAATATACGATCAATTCGCTTTACATTATATTCCGTGAAGAGCTTTGAGCTGTCGAGAAGACATGGTAAATGCAAGGATAATTATTATTAGAAATATTTATTATTTGAAATTATTTATATCACCAAAATATAGCTCTCCGCTTGAAATCCCAAATCTTTGACCTGAATACTCAATTTGCAATAATTGGATAACTAAGCCCATAATAATCTCCTTTTAGATAGATAAGGCAGCAGAACAAGAGGGCAAAGGTTCAGGGTTGCAAAGGGAAATTTTAGGACAGACACCAGGAAGTATTTCTTTATCCAGAGGGTAATTAAAAACTGGATCCGGATAAAAAGAAAATTTATTGAGGCCAGGATGTTGGTATTCTGGAAAAATAATTCAATGAAATCAAGGATGGAGTCAGCATTATTCAGAAGCATTATATTTCTTTCAGAGTTGCACTACAATGAGGAACAGATCCACAAATTTGATAAGTAAGTCTTTTTTCCATTGAATTAATGAAATATTCATGGTAACCTAAGATTCGTTCTGCAGATTTGCAGGTGATTACCTGATGTGTACTCTTACTGTGCTGTGTAGCTAACAACATGCCTATATTCACTAACATAAAATTTAAAAACATTTTAAAAATCTTGATATTCTTGATATCTTCTAAATTAATGTCATTTAATCTTCCCCCTTCCAAATGGAAATGTTGTATTACATTGTCTCAATATTGTTTCCTCATTCTCCATTTCAGACAGAAAATGTGCAATCACTTTTCAAAGGCTCTGTCCTTGTTCAAAGATGAATGTGTTGTGAAGTATCAGTCATTCCTTAAAAAGGCACAGGAGTGGATGAGGTAAGTAATTTTTATTTCAGTTGAAAACAGAATTGACAAGCTTTGAATAATCTTGGATAAGAGTCTATAAACACTCTGATACAGGTGTACATAGCTGTAGGAAAGGAGAATGTGTCTTGAGTCTTGGTAAGATTTAAACTCAAGCATGCTGTCCTCCCGTGCCAGACATTTATTTGCAGTGCCCACCTCTTTGCTGTTAACATCTAATGTCAACATTTACTTGTCTGGACACTGTCAACTGAGTGCAGTGAATCTATTATATGTGCCCTAATTACCTTCCTATCCGATCTATGCTGAGATAGTTGTTGGAGAAATGTGTCAATCTAATGGTAGGGACAGTGGATGGAAATGATTTGAAGGGGTTCGGGAATCAGCAATTTTGATACTTGCTGTAAATTGACTAACTTTAAATTGCTGTAGATTGAATAACTTTTAGGGCTACACTGAGGTAATTTATTGCTGATATGGATGAGTTCATCAAACCCAGTTACAAACTTTTAGTAACAAAACAAGTCATTAAATGGCACGTTTGAAGTGTATATTTGTAAAAATCCACGAAAGCGAATCAGCCACAACAACTGTTTGGGTTTATGCCACAGGAAGATGCATCTGCTGCGAAAACAAATGCTTGGTGTCACCAACCAGTTTGTCAACATCGAACAAGAAGTCTTCACGTACCAAGAGCACATCAAGAAGGTACAGCTATTTGTCTTCTGGAGACGAGACACACAAATGTGAATCGCAGGAATGAAACATTTGAAAAGTTTCTATTGAATAATTTCTGCAATTTTACATTCGATTGTTTTGTTTGACTATCACAGCTCCAAATTCTGCTGCCCCATAAAGCTCTTCTGGGAACATGCAGTGACCTGAAACCTCCGATGTCCCCTGGCTACCCAAGTCAGAATACTTTGATGGAGATGACCAATGGGTACAGTACTTTCAATTTAATTTCAAATGGAACACATATGTTTTCATTGGGGGAGAAAAACCCTGATTCACAAATTCAATTTCCCTGAAATTATAAAAGTTTTTTTATAGTTTGCGCATATGTTGACATTTTTTAATATTTTCCTGTTTAGCAGCAAGAAGTTGATCTTACACAGGATTTGATCTTAATAAAACTTTCTAAACTTCTGACCATAATAAGAAAAATAGTTTTTTTTAATATATAAATGTGTAAACATATTCTGGAAGCAGATTCACATTGTTTCTTGTTGAATTAGGAGAGAAAGAGTTTTGACTTGCATTTATATAGTGTTTTTCATACAGGGAAGTGTTTCGGAGCGTTTATTCATTGTTAATAAGCAGTAAGTTATCACGAGAGTTGAGTGGATAAACCCCAAAGCATGTGCGTCATTTCAGAAGTTTTTGTTCTGCCCAAAAGAACCAGCATTGACCAAAAATGGCCCTGTTATTGACACTATTTAATTTGCATGTCATAGTCTTTCCCTGACCCTTTGACTGACTGAAGAGGTGGATAGACAGAAACACTCCCTGAATTTCCTCTGACACCACATCTATTTCTTTTCTCTTCCCCTTTCTCATACACACAAACAAATTGACCAAAAAGCTGAAGAAGGTCAATCTAACATTACATTCTAGATATTCAGCTGTACGTGGATGCATTCCTTGTAGTAAATTCCAGTGCCCATCCGGACTGGAAGTGTAGTGTTCAAAAACACTGAATATCAATTTTGTGTGTAATTTATAAAAATAAAGAAAATGGGATTTGGTCTTCATTATAAAGGTGTTAATTGGCAGAACATTTAACCGTGTTTCAAAGTTAATTCATGTTGTTTGCGTTTAACACAATTTAAAAAAAACACTACTGTTAAATCTTTTCTGTAGAATGAGGAAATTGAAGGCAGAAATGGAAGCGGTTGCTAAGGAGCTCGCTGAAAATAATCACATTCTGGAAAGGTAAATATGATTCAGTACTAACGAGGCATTTTATTTGAAACGTATGGCATTTCTAACGTGGCAATATGCAGTCCATGGATATTTATGGGGGAAAATTCCACCTAGTTTAGATTGCGTTTGATCCCCAAATCTCATTGTATAAAAGATGTTGGATATATAACAATACAAGTGTTGAAAATAATATTTATTTCCAATAGATTTGGAGCTTTGACCATGGATGGAGGAATTCGAAATGCTGATCATCTCTAAAAGGACAGCGTAACCAAGTGTGGTTTGTCAATAACCTATTTACTAGTCTCCAGTTAGTTGTCCAGTTCATCAAGCGTTTCATCTTTTCATTCTGTACAGAAGTAATTAGATGTATGGGGAAGAAAGACTGTAAATCTCAGGATATTTTCTATTTCCCATTGTTTCTTTTCCTTATGTTGTAATAATATAAACTACTTTTTGTATGAATGTATTTTTAACCCTTTTTTTCTCCTTCACCGTGTCAGTTGAACAGTCAACCTGTTACGTTACTGCTGTTTGAATTGTACTTTTATGCAAGACGTATGGCCTCAAGTCCATGTATTTACAGTGCATTGAATATAGTTGAGGGTATTTTTAAGATCTTTTGGTCTGCATGCAGCTTTCAAACTTTAACCGAGTGTCACATTCCTTTTAGATATTCACAGAAAGTAATTTTAAGTACTGTATGAACAAAAACCTTTAGATTAAGTGTTTCAGTGTACAATAAGAACTCACTGTAACTCTAAGGAATGTGAAAACTATCTTGTCTCTGTTTCCACTGTATTGTGTGTGTGTGTGTGTGCGTATGTTTGTGTATATATATAATATTATATATAGTTGTATATATTTGTATGCATAAATTAACTTTACAGTCATTTATTGAATAGAATATCAGTGCACATGAGAACTGTACAGATTTTATCGTAAAGATGCATCTAAATCAAAGCATAGAGATTCAAGAGTAGCTGTTTTACTGTTGAATCGCTGATTATATAACCCACTTTTCAAAAATGGTATTAATTCCCTTCTCTGAAATCTCTGAATTGTGAGCTGAAAGATCTATAATACAGTGTTGGGATTGTATTCTTTAATACTCTCAAAATTATATTTTGGGGGGAAAAATATAATCAAGAGTACGTATAGCAATGTTAATTCTAATCTGCACCGTAGGCCATTTTACGGGTTACGGAACAAAAAACTGTGGAAATTCATAAGAAAGAAATGTATTTGTTCTTAATAGCTCTTTGGACTCCCTGGTATGATGAGGTCCCAGTGTTCAGCGAACATAAGCTTTCAATAAAGTAATGCAATAACTATTTGATAATCTTTCGAACAATTTCTTTCAACTGATTTAGAGAATAATCTTAACAAAAAAAATGAATGTTTAGTACATTCCTTTACCAAAATCAAAGTGAGTGATTTACTTCATTAGGAAAACCCACGATAAAATAGATTCAAATATGTGCATCTTCACTCTTGTGGTTTCCATGTACTGTATTGCTCGATTATTTTTGAAGTGAAAATGCAAACATTACAATCATTGTGAAACAGAATTCACCCAAGTGTTGCTTTGTTCACTCACGGATAGGGAACATGAGCTGTGTTTTGACAATCATAAGACAGGTTGGTTTTACCTGACTGATGATGTGCTGTTGCAATAGTAATCCTGCTCAGTGCAACTCATAGCCAGGTTGAAGCAATGCATCAACTCACTCCACAAGCGTTGAGTTGAGTGAAGGAATCTAAATAAAATTGAAGCATTTCTTATGACAATAGGGAAAGACACTTGGGTAAACTACTTTCTGAATGCTTTACTATCTACATAATTTCTTTTAGTCCTTCACTGAGCAATTGGGAAATGATCCGTTCATAATGACTTCAATAAAAGATAGTTTTGATCTTATGACTATTTGGATTTCAGAGTCTGCAAATCATTGCTTCGTAATGTTGTATTAATCAATCCATTTGAGAATGAATTTAGTAAGTGTTTTTCTCTGATAATGACTGGTATCCATGACATATACAGTGAGAGTACTTGATGTACCAGCTGTGGCTGCCACACATGATTCAGTAAAAGCAGTTAACGAGAGTGGAAGAGTGAGTGAATCATCTTGTGTCTTCACGGATTAGACTTCTTATTAACGATGAGCCATTTTCAATGTTATATTTTTCTTTTGAATTATTTAGGCATCAGTGAATGATGTCAGCTTTCTCCATTCCTATTTCTCATTAGACTCACATTTACCATGCGTTGATAAATAAATAAATCCTCTAAGCAGATGATACTATGAACACAATTTGTCACCATGAGTTCTTGAAAGAAAGCAACTTATTATGTCACTAAGCATGAGAGAAATGTTCCAATAAAAATTATCAATTTTGCCTCACCATTTCTTCCTGACATGCACAAAGTGGGGATAAAAGGAAAAGAATGAAAGAGAAGGGGAAAAATGTAAATTAAAAACTATTGCCTCGAATGTGTGACTCTGTTTCTTGACCCCAGCATACAGCTAGATGTTGAATTCACACATGTGAGATAGTTTCCTTCTGACTCTGGGGAACCTCTACATCTTGAGTGTTGTTTAAGGCTCCTCATCCTAACCAAATTTGTTGGCAAGTGTCCATGTTGTATGCAGTTGGACATCAATAGGTTTGCTTTGTGTTTACATTGTTTACAAAATATGCAGTCAATTCATTTTGCAGTATATTCTGTGAAGCGCTTTGAGACATCTTGAAGGTGTGATAAGGTGCTATAATAATAATAATAATCCTTGCATTTGATATAGCGCTTTTCACGTCGGGAGGACGTCCCAAAGCGCTTCACAGAACACACTGTAAAGTGAATTGACTGTATATTTGTGGGCAAACGCGGCAGCCAATTGCGCACAGCAATGTCCCACAAACGGTCGTAGATTGAAAATGACCAATTTATTATTTTGGGTTTTTGGAGGGATTATTATTAGGCGTGTGGAGTAAGGAAACTTGCCCAAGGTTTTGCCCTGCCAGGAATTGAACTCAGGTCTCTCGCTTGCAAAGCGAGTGCTCTAACCACTGAGCTACAGGACTCCACGCTATATCAAATGCAAGGATTATTATTTGTTATTATTACATCAGTGCCTTAATGAGCATGTGGGTGCACCCTAAAGCCTCGAATAAAATTACTTCTTCACGATCCTTCATGATCTTCTATTATAGTTGTTGCTTCTGTGAAACATCTTCACCTAAACTGAACTTCATAAATATCATTTATTTTATGCACTGGTGTACAGCTGGAGTTTAGCCAGCTAAAACTGCACAGCTTGCCATTGAGAGCACTGTCTGCCAAGCTTCCTGCTGCATATCCAGCCAGGATGACCTTTCTGCTAGAGGTTTGGTTTATAGGAGCCAAATTGGCAGAATCCCTGCGCTGTGTGACAGCTTTGCCTCTCCAGGACCTGTTGAGCCAGGCTGCCTGGTCTATTATTTGTGCCTGGAGTACTGCAGACCTGCCTGGCTCAGGAATCGGTCTACAGAGTCCACTCTAGATGATCATCTCAATTACAATATTCCATTGCCAGGTGTGTTATTTTAGGGCCAATTAAGACAAAAGAGACCACACTTCTTCCCACCCCCAAGTGAGTTATTTACCCCTTATGAAGATTATTCTTAGCATACTGTAGAATGCCTAGGCTCACACCTACGGTTGCTCTCTTACCCACAAACAAGACAGATTCTCATGAATTTTCCATGGTTGAAACTTTGATGTCATTAGGAGTTACTAAATATGAAACTCATCTCGTTGCCACTTGGTAACTGTTGATTTGCTTCTCAGTGGATAAATGATTTGAATATTTAATGGTAGGGTTTATTTTCTGTTTGTTAGTTGTGAGTATTTAAATATCACATGGGTTCAACCAAAAAAACATACGTGTTGGGTGGAAGGTAAATTTGCTGCATAGTTCTCCATCACCTCAAGTCTTTGTAACCCATTTAAAGTCACTTGTAAGATTCATGAAGGTGTAAACTGTCCTTGTTAAGATCTGGGTTGGAGCTACCCATACTCAAAACAAAAAACACCAGAATTAAATACCAGACCAGCCACTACCTGGAACCCTGCACTGATGGCACGATTTCTACGGTCTTTGTAGATTGCGTGTAGATTGTGTTCTCTGAGTAAAGCGCTTTTAATGTCGGGAGGACATCTCAAAGCACTTTGTGTGATTTTTACTGTGAAGTGCAGTGACTGTAATCAGGTCAGCGGTACAATATATTACAGAATATCTGCTATGGGTGGAAACATTCTCTTTCTGACGTTTAGCACCTTGTTAAAAAGTTATTGAGTAAAGAGCAGAGAATAGAATCAGAGAAAATAGTGAGGAGCTTGCTTGGTACAGGCACAATGACCTAAATGTCCCACAGGAGTCCCAGAATCTGGCAGGAACATTAGAGCTCTAATTTACACTTTTGATTGTTCACGATTTGAACAAAGATACAGTTTTATAACATGTAGGGACATGTCTTTGTATATTGTCAAAGGCTTTTTATAGGAACATGCTGTTAACTGAGCGTAGCTCTATTCCCCAGATTTCAAACAATCGATTTCCAGTCATTAAATCATTTCCATATTCAACACCTCAGTGCCCAACCTCCAAACAGTGCTGCCATCTATACCTTTAGCAAGAAAGCAAATGAGCAGTGTACTTTGGTAGGGCATGAACATTTTGAGATTATTAAATACATTTTTGAAGATTCATAATATCTTTGGAGGAGCTCTCAAGTGGCTGGTCTACTTTAAGTATAGTTTTTTTCCTTAAATCCCTGGACACTTAACCAGTGTTGGGGGATTCCAGGCCTACAACATGCTATATGGGAAGTCGGGATAAGCAGTGGAGTGTGGAGTCTTAAATGGTGCTGGAAAAAATGAATAAGAGGAGAAACTGAATAGTGCATGTTTTTGAAACAAAATGAGGAAAAATTGTAGACACAAGATTTTTTTTAAAAACTCAGGCATGTTATGTAGTTTAAACACTAAATTCTGCTGAAGCATTTAAATGGAATTAGATAAATTTCTGAGTCAGGAAGAAATACGGAGAAGAGTTTGACTAAGGATTGAAATCCAGAGTGGTTGCCATCACAAGGCACAGTTTTTATTACTTGTCTTATGGCATTTCCTGGAGTGGGGATATTGCCATTCTATAAACTTGTGAGGGTTGGAATGGTGAGCTACCGTACAGTGAGATAGTTGTGCCTCAGAAGAGACGCTTTCAGAAACAGGACCAAAAGTACTAGGTATCAAGGGAAAACATTCAAAATATGTGGTTAATTAGCAGCTAAAAGCCAACTGAATATCCCAACACATATGGCAACTTTTTTAAGGGTCTGGATGAACAAAAACATTTTAGCATTAGTTAGATAGACATTAAAGATTGCAAGTCAAGGGAATTATTCCCTGTATCCTGGCTAACAATCCAACAGCTAGAATTGGTCATTCACTTCATAACTGTGGGCCATTCCTTTGCACAAATTGGCTGCCAAATTGGCTATTTCACCTACAAATATACAGTCACTACACTTTACAGTAAATCCCATGAAGTGCTTTGGGACATTTTGGCAATGTGCTAAGGCATTATATCAAATGCAAGGATTATTATTTAGACTCATTTTTATCTCTTCGTACTACGATCATACAGATCCAGTATTACTTTAAAAAGTCCTGTTGAAATGCATCCTTCACTCAACCACTGAGACTGCTGGACATAATATTAAATTCCTATGTTTGAACCACTAGTGCAACATAACACAGGCAGTGTTCAGTGCAAGATTTACAACTGCAGTTTCCATGTTATTTTTTCCTTGCAGGAGGCAGGGCGGAGTTCTGTTTAATTGCAGTGTTAAAGGTAGGTTATGAATGGAATTCACAACGACTTTAGCAAACAAATGTAGGAGTTCCCCATGAAATCTATTGTAAGATTACCACGCGTTGCTTTAATTAACCACTTCTTTTCACAGATGTAGTTTAAGCATATGGCAGGTTTGAATGGTCTGAGGCTTAACGAACTATGACATTTGATTTCTGTATCAATCAAAAAAAATGACATTTCACTTTGCCCTGTAGCCTGCATTCAAGTAAAGTGTGTAAGAGGAACTGGTGGACTATAAAATGTAGATACCATAAGGAAATGGATTCCAGCCAAATGTAAACTACCTAGTCACAGAACGAGTTAAGCGAGTAAAATCTTTGAATGTGGCATGTTCCACTCACAACCACATACCAATCAAGTTCATTGTATCATACAAAGAACCCACTGTTTGGGAGGGAGAAAGAGAGAGAACAGCGTCTAATCATAACATTGTGAACAAGTGACAATGATTCAATGCATTTTGATCCCTTCACAACATTTAGAATTAAAACGATAAACCCAATTAAGGTAATGGACACAAATGTAAAAAGAAAGACGTAAATGGATGAGAGAAGTAATTCATACTAGTGACTGATTGACTGACTAACTATCGAGACTAATAAGTTCTATAAAACTGGTCCCTTGAAGCAAATTACTCAAGGTAAGATTCTTGAATAGGTAATCCAACTGTACTATTTTCACCCACAAACTTTTCGCCCACAAAACACACAGTCAATTCAGTTTACAGCATATTCTGTGCAGCGCTTTGAGACGTCTGAACGACGCGATAAGGCCCTATATCGAATGCAAGAATTATTATTATTATCATTGTTATTATTACCTTGTACAATTATACAGTTACGGACCTGCGTTTCTTGCGGTACCAACGCGGCGAGGAGGTTTAAATAATGTACAGAAATGCAGACACCTCCTTAAAAGTGAAACCAAAAATGTGCCAGAGAATCAGGTGACGTTCAGAGCTGTGGTGGAGTGAATGAATTGTGTGCAGAGCTGAAAGCTGCAGCGAAAC